TGAAAGGGGCCCTGTATAAAAATAACCAACGTTTTAACCTCAGTTTTCCTCTAAAAACAAATTTGTATGCTATATCAGGGCCCTGCCACCCCCTTACAAAAGATCAAATGGTACGACCCACATGTGCGCTTGTTGCTGTGTTGCTGCCGCTGCAGCGAGTTGACTTGTTTGACAAGCAGCGGCAGAAGCGGGAAAAATAGAAATGTCTTTTCCAAAGAAAGGAAAATCAGGATTTCAGAAAAGAAAAGAAAGACAGGACAGGGAGAAAAAGTGTAATGAGGGCAAGCAATTGCTTACTCAGTTCTTCCACACGAGAGGTGAGTAAATAGAGACGTGTAAAGGCCACATCAGGAGAAAACCCAGAGACATTTGTTTCTGTATTCTAAACTCACGGAGAGCTAACAGTGTGCCGTGTACGTGGTAAAAAAAAACGTTATCCAGAGTGACACACACAGACGCGCAGCTGTAAAGGGAGCTCACACACACTGCTGTCCACTTCTCCTTCAAAGGCAGGCAGCAAAGAGTTATTTTCATGTACAACCCTGTACCCTATATTCCCACTATTATCATAATCTGTCCGTCCGTGAGTCTTGCAGTCATAAGTCACGGGTCACTCACTGGCCTCTGCATTGGATCATCTGGTTATAACCATACAAATCACACGCCCCCGCACTGATTTGGAGTTTTCTGGTGACATCTAGTGGTCAAAAAAATTTAAATAAGTCTAATAGTCTAAAGGTTTCTAGCTCTACAATTATCTTAGTGTGTAAACAAGGGTGAAATGAGACTTTCTGGTGTGTAAACTATTGCTTTTAAGCCAGAAATGACAACTGACAATCACAGCCCAGACCATGCCCAACTGTAAGCCCCTCTTCTTCTCCACTGGTGCCATTTTTACAGAAAAATGTCAAATGTTCATGTGGGCGGAGTAAGGCTAGGCACAGGTGTTTAGTTGAAAATGGAATAGGCTTATTTCAAAAAAGATTGCATCGATTGAATTTTGCCACAAAGTCTAAATTGGTGGATAATAATGAACCATAAAAAGTATTTTGTTGTATGTTTGTACAATAACAAATAAGTAACTTACCTACTCATGGTCCATACAAATAAGATAAGATATACTATATATTTTATATGAATAGCCATATACACATATCACATAAAGGCATGCAGGCATATACGTAATAGCTATACACTGTAATGATGGAATATAGTATCTGTTTGCAACCCATTAAAGCTACTTTATTTCAGTTTCAGGAAGAGAAGCATCATGGCCAGATGAAGGCACTAGTAGTGACTCACTACTATTTAAGATCCACAATGTCCCAAGAGAGACTGAACAGCCTTGCAATACTCTCCATAGAAAGTCAGTTGGCCAAAAACCTGGATTTTAAAGACCTGATCAGAAACTTTGCAAATGCAAAGACCCGTCAGACCCCCTAAACATTGACCATACATTTATCTTTGTACTACATTGATGGTTCTCAAACAGTGTAGTTCTAGTTTTTGTTAAATGTTTACCTTTTTTTGGGCTTGTCCCTGTTAATAAATAAAATGGACATGGTACTACTGTTATCAACCTGGTGAAGCCGTTGTTTGAAAATAAAGCAATGTTTATTGTATATACAGGCTACTCAATTAATTTTTTACATGAGGGTAATAAAAAATATTGTAAACAATACTGATGATAATAAAACCAAAGGACATGAATCAGAATTGTATTAACTAATTAAATTATTATATATATATATATATATATATTGTGGGGGCCCATTGAGACTGTTTGTACCCGGGGCCCAGAATTAGGTGCTACCCCCCTGCCTGCAACCCAACTATATAACTGTTGTGGTGAAGAGGGAGCTGAGTCAGGAGCTGGCCTGGGAACGCCTCATCCAGCTGCAGTAGGCCCGCGTGAAGAGAAACTGCATGTGATGAGGATGGATGTCTCCAGAGGAGCACATGTAACAGGGATGGAGAAAGCTCAACAGAAGAGACTGAAGAGATCCAAATGTAGCCACATTAAAAACCAAACAAGTCAGATTCCATTTGAGTTGTTGCCTTTTATTTCATATTCAATTATTATTATGTAACCAAACACGTTTTGCCATTACCTGTTAAAATTAATGTAAAAAATAACCAAGCTAGGACAGGTGGATCAATTCATTCTTTTCATGATGTGGACATCAAAATATTGGAGAAAATGGGGCTTTATTTCAGCTTCATCACCTCAGTGTCAGAGAGTCAGAGTTTGTATATCCATCTTTTTACTCTTGTAACTTGTTTGCACCGCATGAGCCTAAGCAAATGCTTAGTTTCTGACTTCCTGTTACTTGCAATGGCAAAAAAAAGATTCGGAATCTGATCTAAAGATGTGACGGAGGCCAGCAAATACATGTACATGTATAAAACTATTATTTATATTTAAAACAGACGCCATTCCATCACAAATGAGTCAGACTTAGCACCTTAAAAACACTTTAAAGTCTGCTTTATAATTCAAACCATTATTCTAAATACTGCTATTCACAATCTTGAAATTCGTTTTTTACTTTTGGGGAAATGGGGAACGATAACTGCATTGTCCTAAATACATTTTCATAACAAATGTCGACATGTTTTTGATCTGCCCTTGTAAAGCACTGAATTATGCCTTCCACAAATTGTCCAAAACAAGTGAATCATATTTTCCACTTGTTTGACACTCCTGGTTAGAATACTCCAGGCAGTTGTCATGTGATTACTGTGTATACCCCAAAGAAGTGTAACATGATAACATAAGCATATGGTAAGTAGCAATGGTGTGATGTAGACGTGGAGATAAGACCTCAGACATAGTCATCTGCAGAATATACATGATCAGAACTCATGAGGACAGATTTACCACTGAAGGCCATTATCTGTGAAGTGGTTGAGCAGCAGCGAGTTATGTTTTGTCCTCTTCATGCGCTTCTGTTGAGCTGTTATGTTTCCCTTATTTCATTACTCCTGTTGTCATTGCCACTGTATTTGTTAATTGCACCAGTGACAGCTCATGTTATTTGTTTGTTTATGTCAGGGCTTCCTCATCCTTGTCGTTACAACTACAATGTGACACAGGAGTTAATTTTGATCAACCTGGAGCTGTTAAGAGTACTTCAAAACAACTGACACTAATGAACACATTGAAAAGGAAACTCCTCTGGTTCAGACACAATCAATCCATTATTTTTCAATTTTCTGTCTGAAAAAACTGATCTAAATCTATGACAGTGGCCAAAAATAGATGAAACAGCCACAAATAGAATGTTAGGTACCTGAGCTTTAATTTGTACATGACAGCTTAAGCCATATTTTGCCACTGTGGAAGGCATGAAACATACCCCCCTTAAGCAGAAAATCACCTCAGACCGGCAAATCAGCACTTTATTTCAATATTATTTTTACATCTCCCAAGTCGATTGAGAGTTGACGCAAGTTTAAACAATCTTCCATCAACCTGGCAATTAAACAAATCAGACTAGTATGTTGTGAATGGGTCCTCACAAGGTCCTTCAAAATCTGGAACTCACACCCATTAACAGCTTGTTTACGATGTTCCAAGATCGCAGTAGTATTGCTTCCGATGAACGCCGCCTTTAAAGCTGGGGTACCTAACTTTCAGATCACAAAAAATGTATAAGAACATCCATGTATCCGGTTCCTTGCTCTAAAACTGTTCACTTCCATCAGTGTTTTCGCAGACATGTATTTTTGGTCTCCGTCACGTCCTTAGATCAGCTTTTTAAGACAGAAAGAGGACCACCCGCAGTCATCCAATCAGCTCAAAGAGTCAAATAGTGACTCATAGGGCTCGTTCTTACAAAAAGATTACATTTTCGTCTTGTGCCTCAAAGCTCAAGATTTACAGTACATTTATTTTTTGTTAGCATGGGACCATAGACTAGAGAGGTGTCTTGATTTAGCAGGCTGTCGCAAATGCCTGTTTAAAAACGCCACCATAGTACTGTTAACATACACTATACTCTCTAATGGAATTCCTCTCCGTCTCTGGTCTCTCAGAATCTGAATTTCTCTCTCCCTCTATGAATTTCAGTCTCAACAAAAACCCAGTGGCATTCAAGCGTTTATGGACTTATTTTAAGAGATGTCTTGACAGCTTGGCTAAAGATGTGGCTCCATAAATGTAATTGGGATAAGGTCAGAGTTATGGTCACCTCCTTGGGACCTCAGGATATTAGTGAGCCTTGTAAATACTAAATGTTAATGTCCTCAGAGATTCTTGTGCCGTTTGTTTCATGTATCATGAATATGAAAACCTGCAGCTTGCATTCAATTGTGTTCCATATATGATTTGTTTTCTTTTCAAATCTGATGTTGCGAATAAACTAGTGCGCTTAGAAGTATTATATTCCAATGGATGAACATTGCATGTTGGGGTCTTGTTTGGTCATTGGAAGACTTTATGTTGGGACAAAATGTGTTTAAAAAAATAAAATGTTTAATATCTTCAGGCCAAAACATGACATTTCCATCTAATTAGAAAAGCCTTGAGCGTCACTATATGGCTCTTTGGAAGGAGGCCCGATTGGTTCTCAGCGCTCCTTTCCATTTCACTATAATAGGTTGTGTTTCCATTGCACTTCAAAATCTGGTACCATTTTCTAGCAACCTTCCCACAACAAAGCAGCATCCGGGTAAATGGCTTGGTAACTAAGAGGGACCTGGTACTGGTTAAACAGGGCCAGTGTAAACGGTCCCAACAGGGGGATGGGAGGATAGGGGAGGGTAGTGAAGGGTAAGATAAGGTAGAGCCAAATAGGACTGCTGGAGACTGGGCTTTTTCTTAATGAAAAAAACTGATCCAAAAAAGTGTGACACAGGCCAATAATACAGGCAAATGAAAACTAGTGATGGAACCAACGCGTTTTGAGAGAGAATAGATGGATTTTATGACATAGTTAAATGTTTGTGGTTTGAAAGTTTGTTACCGCAGCTTTAAATAAACCACCATTTTGGCCGCGTTAAGACTCTCCCTGCAGCACCGATGTGAGCTCCCCATTCTCCTTAAGCTCTTTGACAATGTCCAGGCCTCCCACCAGCTCGCCCTTCACGTACAGCTGTGGGTATGTGGGCCAGTTGGAGTAGGTCTTCAGCCCCTGCCGCACCTCCTCGTCCTCCAGGATGTCAAATGTGCCGTAGTCCACGCCTGTGCCGTTCAGAATTTCCAGGATCTGCCGCGAGAACCCACATTTGGCTGCCTCCTTGTTGCCCTTCATGAACAGCATCACTGGGTTGCGGTTGATGATGGTCTTGAGCCGGGCCTCCAGCGAGACTGCCTTGGGGCACGTGCTCGCCAGCTCCCCTGACTCGGCCAGCTCCTTCACGATGTCCAGCCCACCCACCAGCTCTCCATTAGCGTACAGCTGCGGGTAGGTGGGCCAGTTGGAGTAGGTCTTCAGCCCCTGCCGGACCTCCTCGTCGGACAGGATGTCAAAGGTGCTGAACTCGATGGCGTGCTCTTTCAGGAGGGCCACAATCTGACGACTGAAACCGCAGCGAGGCTCTTGCGGGACGCCCTTCATGAACAGCATGCAGGGGGCGCTGTTGATCAACTTCTTCAGCCGCTCGTTCAGGGCGGCAGGGCCCGACTCAGCGGCGGCAACGCTACTGCCGGCTAGCTTCTGAACCTGTAGAAGACATTTTACACCAGTTAACACACATATCTTAGGGTTGTATCGACCGGATCTACAGCCTCAGTCCTCAGTGGTTTATGGATGTTCCTTGCCAATGCAAAAGGGTCTGAGTACAGTGATGATCACTGCTCCCTGTATTCAAATATTAAATGTTGTATATAATTGATATCTCACTGACAGACATTCTTCTCAGTATTATTAGGATACGCATCTGTGCATCAGCTTTCGGCCTAAAGAGTTAGATAGTAACTCACAAAAGATAGATCTGTCAGATGACAACAGCTTGTGGTCCAAGTATCTCACAAGATTTTATTTTCACAGGTCAGACTCTTATGTAATATACAATGTATTCTTTGTGCATAATACATTTTATTTACATATGCAATATAGAATCACATGTGTCACTTTGTCCCATGCCAGCATGCTGCTAACAAATGTACAGATGTATGCATACGACTATTTCTTGGACTGAATATACAGTAATGTATACTTACTTCTTTGTTCTACTAAAGTTATAGATACTATTTTAATTTATTGTAGTTATTGTACGTATCTTGTGCTGTGTGCTCTTCATTCATACCGTTCTGTAACTGGTGATGCAACACTGAAACTTCCCCACTTAAAGGATCTCTTAATCTAAAAAAGTAAGCCACCCCAGCTTTAACTGTGTATTACGTCGATCTGTCACACGCACTTTGACGTGTATCCCTGTCGCTGTAACGTAAGCTGACGTGTTTTGCGGTCTGACCTTCTTGGTAAGTTCGGGAGCGTTGGCCCCGTCCAGCCGGTCCACCCGCTCCCCTCCGCGGAAGAACAAGAAGGTGGGCACGGAGCTGATGTCGTACTTCTCCGACACCTCGGGCACCGCTTCGGCCTCCAGCCTCACGAACGTACTGCCCCGGTGCTCCTCGGCCAACACCGCCATCACATCGTTCATCTGCTCGCACTGAGGGGCCCACGCCGCCTGGAAGTGCACCACGGCCAGGCCCTTCCCGCAGCGGGACAGGAGCTCCTCAAACTGCTGCTGAGAAGCGGCTTCCACGAGGTTCGCCATCTTTGCACCTCTGCCTCTGGACTTCTTCTTCTTCTCGTGTGTTTGGGGCCGGAGAGGTGCCTCCTTGCTCATTGCTGCCTCTCTCAGGTTGCATTCAGTACTTACCACGAGGATTCCCAGAATCCTGAAACTACCAGAATCTCCAGAGCCTTCATTTTTACTGCTCCATTCAAGACAATGTATTTCTCTTAAGACGTTGTTTTGTTTTACCTTTACTTATTCTGTTCTAGTGTTAATTCCCAATGTGCAGGTGGATGGAAGTATTATATCTGATTACTGCAGTGACTTTTTCTAATAATGGAGTTGAAGGACTAGGAAAGTTTCCCTAATAATAATAATAATCCATGATGCTTTTCAGGACACTTTGACGCTTCAGAGGTCGCTACAACTGCCCACTGAGGCTCCTGGTGTTCACAGATGTCTCCCATCACAGTACTAAACAGGCCCTAGCCTGCTGAGCTTCAGAGGTCTAAATGGATCTGGATTTCTCTGCAGTGCACCACAATGGGGGAGTATATTGTTGTTATAGTTCAATAATTCTTTTGTAAGGGAATCTCGTTTTGTTCTTTATACAGACCACACTACAATAAGAGCCAGTGCAGGGTTCAGTCCAGGTGCCAGTCCAAAGTGGCAAAGCCTTAGCTTGGAGTTAATGCTCTGCTTTCCCCCAACTTCCCAATGCCATCCTTTGACAAATTCTTAATGGAGAAATAATTTCCGTTTTGTTTATCTATCCCACTCCCTCTGTCAAGTTCAGCTGAGCAGCTGAGTCAGACAAGATAACAGAATATGATGGTCCAGTTATCGCCACCCATTCTGACACACGGCAGCGCAAAAACCTCTGTTGTGAAAACAAAAATATAATCCAAAACACATTCCTGAGAGATATTGCTATTGTGTGTGCAAACCTGGTAAAGACCTATAGTATTCGTTTGACCTCTGTTATTGCCAACAAAGGTTATATTACAAAGTATTGAGTTATTGACCAAATACTTGGTTTCCACCATGATTTACAAATAAATTCTTTAATAATCCTACAATGTGAATTCCTGGATTTTTTTTCACATTCTGTCTTTCACAGTTGAAGTGAACCTATGATGGAAATTACAGACCTCTGTCATTATTTTAAGCGGGAGAACTTGCACAATCGGTGGCTGACTAAATACTCTGTTGCCCCACTGTATAAACTAGGGAGTGCTAAACCATACATTTCTTAACCCAAAATGGTGAGTGTGACACAAACGGTTATTGACCTGGAGGAGTTTACATTTCAACATAAGTCAACAGGAGCCAGAAACTAAACTAAACTTTGTGCATGAGCACTTCCCTATTGGGCTATAGCATCTATATACAGTCCATGTCTAAAAGCTCCTGTCCCAGTTCTGTAATCATATTATGTCACTGTACCACTAATGACATCATACACAGTGCATCTTTCTGCCTAACGAAAGCATTGCCCATAAACGTACTCAATGATCACGTGTCTGTGTTTACAGCTTCCTCTGGAGGCAGAATAAAGAATTACTTCCTTCATGTTTCACCATATATTTTCTACTGAAGACATTCTTTCACGTTCTAACGCATGAGAAGATAAAGTAAATCGTCTCATTATTATTTTGAAAGCTGAAAAATAATATGTAATGTATCCCCTTTAATAAATAAAAAAAAAAAAAGCGTTTCCTCTTCACTTCCGGCTCGCTTCTGGTAGCTTCGGAAGTGTGCCTATTTTTGATTGTTTTGGATAAAGGTGCTGGTTTAAAGTCGGGAGTTGTGTGACCACGCAGGTAACGCGTTTTGAATTTCTGTTAAAAACACATTCATAAACATGTTTTTACTGTCTGCCTCCAGTCTGGAGCTAGCTCGGCTCTTCAGCCGGTGGAGGCTAACTGCTAAGCTACCGCTAGCTGGCTAGCAACATACGGGTGCTACGGGCGTTAAGCTATTTGTTTGTGCTTTTAGGTCGATGCTTAATGACTTACCACGTTGTTTTTACGTTTACCATGTTAGTTAAATTGAGGAAATGCGTGGGTAATAATTTGACAGTTGATCACAGGTTTTACGTTTGTTGTGGAGTGACTATGACGTGAGTAATCTGAGCAGACAGTAAAGTTAAAGCTTATCTAACCAGCATCGACGTTACACACGATATGAATATGTTGTCTATCTCTATTTTGAGTAAAACCCACCCATGTTCGGTGGCTTTGTTTCACTGATTCAACCTCTCCCTGTTATGGTGTCATTTGTTTTTCCTGGGATATGACCAGTAGGGCAATGGCAGGGGTGTCCAAACATTTTAGTAAGAGGGCCACTTTAGTTCACCTGACCAGTCCAGGGACCAACATCACAAACGGAAAATCTGTCTTGACTGTCATTGGGCTGTTCTGAGCTTTAAACTATAACGGAGCTGAAGTTGGCTGAATGACACATGTTGACCATCTCACCAGCTACAGTAGCACCATTAATTGTAAGTGACACAATCTAAAACCAGAATCAGAATCAGAATCATTTTTATTGCCACGTAAGTAACAGGAGGTCACAGACTAGGAAATTGCTTTGGATCAGTGCAACAGTCAAAAAGAGATAATAAAAATAAGAATAAAAAACACTTCTAAAGAATTAATTTAAATTTAAAATAGAGTTACAGTTACTATTTACAATATACAAGTGCACATGGTGCACACCATGTAAGGTGACAGCAGTACAGTGAAGTAAAGTGACGTATGATGGGCAGTAAAGTGACTTTATAAAGGGCGGGGGGACAGGTTAAGAAGTGTTCAAGAGTCCAACAGCAGAGGGGAAGAAACTGTTCTTGTGGCGGGAGGTTCTAGTCCTGATGGACCGCAGTCTCCTGCCTGAGGGGAGTGGTTGGAATAGTCCATGTGCAGGTGAGAGGGGTCGGCTGTGATACGACCAGCCCGGCCTCGAGTTCGGGCGACGTACAGGTCCTGCAGCGATGGAAGGCTGCGGCCGATCACTTCCTCTGCAGAGCGCACAATGCACTGTAGTCTCTGTTTGTCCCTGACTGTGGCTCCAGCGAACCACACGGTGACGGAGGAGGTGATGGAGGAGGTGATGGAGGAGGTGAGGATGGACTCGATGATGGCCGTGTAGAACTGCAGCTTGGCTTTCCTGAGCTGCCGCAGGAAGTACATCCTCTGCTGGGCCTTCTTGATGAGGGAGCTGATGGTCGGCTCCCACTTGAGGTCCTGGGTGATGGTGGTGCCCAGGAAACGGAAGGACTCCACAGAGGTGATGGGGGAGTCCATCACGGAGGGTGGGGGCGGGGGGACAGTGCTGTTCCTGAAGTCCACAATCATCTCCACTGTCTTCTGGGCGTTCAGCTCCAGGTTGTTACCACTGCACCAGGACACCAGCCGGTCCACCTCCCTCATGTAGGCGGACTCATCGTTGTTGGAGATGAGTCCAATGAGGGTGGTGTCGTCCGCGAACTTGATCAGCTTCATGGAGTCGTGGCTGGAGGTGCAGTGGTTGGTGTACAGGGAGAAGAGCAGGGGAGAAAGAACACAGCCCTGTGGGGCTCCTGTATTTATAATCCGAGAGTCCGAGACATTCTTCCCCAGACGCACTCGCTGCTTCCTGTCCGTCAGGAAGTCAGTGATCCACCTGCAGGTGGAATCGGGCACATCAGTACAGTATGTGAAAATAAAGTCCGACTAAATTCCGGACGTACTGGGCTTTAGAAGGAGTTACGACAAGTCTATTTTGGCTGAGCTGAAGTTGGATGGATGACACAGTGAACTTGTTTTTTTTGTTATCTCAAAGACTACTTTGGGTTAGCAAGGCAGAGGGCCACATAAAATGACAGTGAGGGCCACAATTGGCCCCTGGGCCTGAGTGCAGACACGCCTGGACTATGATATTGATCATTGTTACATTGACTTTATGAGCCCATTCACTGTCAAAGGGTAAATAATAGACTTTCTCTGTAAATGTCATTAAATCCATAGAAGTTTCAGTATGTACAGATTATTCAAATTAGTTTGTTTATGCTTTGTTATTGGGCTTTAGGCAGGCAAGTTTATGTCATTGTTCATACACAAGGCAATTCAAAGTACTTACCAAACAAGATCATGTGTTAAAATAATAAATAATCACAAAGGTTAAGGTTAAAAAGGTTAAAGATTTGTATCTTTACCCTTTCTTTCAGCTAAACAGAAATGTTTTCAACCTGGATTTGAACAGTGTTGGAGTGGAAATCTGTCTCACATTTGTAGGAAGACTGTTCCGGATTTTACCTGCATAGATATGAAACCCTGCCGCTCCATGTTTAGTCCTTACTTTGGGCACCAGCAGGAGGCCAGTCCCCGTGCTCCTCAGTCTGAGTTGGTTTATTTGGCTTTTGATCTGAATAAATGATTGATGTTCATTTGTATTTTAGTCGACTAAAATGTGGTTTTGGTTTAAGCCTGACATTTTTGGTCATGCCAATTGCAGCATCTTCAGATACATCTTTGTAACAATTGCAGGGATTTGTAATGATTTTTGACTTGCAGAAACAAGATGGAGGAGCAGCCCACAGACATAGAGGTGACCGTTAAGACGTTGGATTCTCAGAGCAGAACTTACACCGTCAGAGCACAGGTAAATGAACAAAGCATTACATGTGCAGTGGCATGAACAAGTACCTGAAGTGTTTGCATTTTCTCTAATTTCTTTATAAAATCCCCATTAAATGTAATCATTCTCAAAATCACACAGATGAAATAAAACAGTGTCTGCTTTAAAACCACCCAAACATTTCTAAGTTGTTATACTTTTAATAAGGATAATATGCAAACTAGGGCTGTCAAAATTATCGCGTTAACTCACGTTAATTGCATTTTTTATTAACACGTTAAAAAAAAATTAACGCATGTCCGAATGACCTGCCCATTTATCCATATTATCACTCAGAAGGCTGCGTGTGAGATGCATCAGAGCAGGTAGGCCCTCTGGGAATTCATGTTTTAAAAGAATACGCGCGTCACCGCGGGCTGTTGTTTGCTGTGAACTGAAGTCCGCCTCCTCTGCGGCCGCTCTGACTGTGAGCCGCTCACAACAACACGGCTGTGAGCCGCTAACAACAACACGGCTGTGAGCCGCTAACAACAACACGGCTGTGAGCCGCTAACAACAACACGGCTGTGAGCCGCTAACAACAACACGGCTGTGAGCCGCTAACAACAACACGGCTGTGAGCCGCTAACAACAACACGGCTGTGAGCGGCTGTGAGTGAATGGCGCCGCGGTAACATGGTCTTATAAGACCATACACGCCACAGAACTATTGTCTGCATGTTGTGTTTGTGTCTTTGCAACCTGTGCGTAACCTATGCACGCAAATACACCGCTAAAGTGTCCGTGTCTAAACTGAAACGCTGAATTAAAGCTGGGATACGTAAATTTCCCCCTTTCATTAACAGCTAATTTTGGTTGTGCCCAAAAGCAAAAGGTTGTGAGCAAATCTAACATTTGGTATGAATGACAATGTCATTACATTTGATAATCTCATTTAACGTCAACTGGAGTGGATTTGAAATAGAATGTTAAAAATGCGATTAATCGTGAGTTAACTCACCATTTCTGTGCGATTAATCAACAAAAAATGTTTTATCGTTTGACAGCCCTAATGAAAACAATGACAGAAGGGGGGTCAAATTATTAACTGAACCTTCTGCCTAAGGAGATTTTGAGAGCAATTAATGGCTTCAAAAAAAGCATATTAGAGTGGGGGCTGGTGGAAACCTGTTATAGATTGCTATAGTGAGGCTGTTGAGTTTGTTGCCTTCAGGTGCAACAAATCATGGTTCCCACACTCTTCGTTGCCAGAACTGTTTGTAACATTGTCTATTCAAAACGCATTCATACGGTCCGCTGTCGGCACAAGGGGCACACAAACTTATTTGGTTGCAGTTTAGTTGGAACTAAACTGCAACTAAACTCATTTATTGAGACGGCACAAAAACACTCGCCGACCTTTCACAGTGGTTTACAGATGGTCAAAAGGTCAATATTAGAAAGTGCAAAATCATGTTAATTAAGCATCTAAACAAGGGTAAGTGAAATGGGACAACTGTGTTTTTTACTGGAGGATTAAATTACTAGAATCTCAGTTTTTAACAGTTTGTTGTTTTCTGCTTTCAGCTGACTGTGAAAGAGTTCAAAGAGCACATTGCGCCCTCCGTAGGAATTCCCATCGACAAACAGAGGCTGATCTACCAGGGCCGCGTGCTGCAGGACGATCGCACACTGCACGACTACAGTAAGGGCGAAAACTACTCCTGGCTCTTGTGTATTGGCAGATACTGCATAAACATCCAGCACAGTCCATCCAATTCAAGGGAACTGTTGGGTCTATGCCTCTATGATAAGATATAAAGATTTATTTGTCCTCCATTAAAGGTCCTATATTACGCTTTTCTTCATGTTTCACAGTCAATCCTATGCACATGTGTGATAATAATGTGTATGATACACCATACAACACTCAAAACTGGTGAGATTATTGCTATCTCTTGAATAGAAGTGACGCCACCTCGACTCAAACGAGATGATCCAGAGTCTGCCTCTGTGAGCCCGCCTCCCCCTGCACGGTGACGTAGCATCACGCTCTGAGTTGTTTATCACCGGTACATAGTCATTTCAGACCTGAGAATAAACTTTTTCCAACAATGACAATCCTTAACATCGAGCCCTATGTCCTCGATCCACAATCAGACCCTAATTATTTAGTTTACAGAATTATACGGTGAATTAGCGTCACTGTACTCACAGATCCTGTGTCTGTGTTACTATGGAGGACCAAAAATGACTAAAGTATAAATAAATAAATAAATACAGGAATATATTAATAAATACATTCATTTTGGACAATAAAAACTAAATATTTACATTGATGTGTTAAATATTACTATGAAATCAAATAAATATACTTTTATTTAGGTTATTTATCAAAATCTACATTTTTTCCTTTATTTATTTATCCATTTATTGCATATATTTATTTATGTATTTCTACATTTCTTCATTTATTTTATGTATATCTACATTTCTTCATTTATTTATTTATGTATTTCTACATTTCTTCATTTATTTATTTATGTATTTCTACATTTCTTCATTTATTTATTTATGTATTTCTACATTTCTTCATTTATTTATTTATGTATTTCTGTGTTGCCGTATGCTAATTAGGCGGGCGGTGCTGAACTCAATCTAGAACAGGATTGGTGGGCAGTAGGTCAGCCAGGGCAACCAGACAGAAGCAAAGTTAAGCCTAGCGTACATCGACAGAGAAACTGGAGACAAGTTGCAAGGCGGCTTTTGGCGACTGAGAGGAGATGATGGAGATGATCAGTTGCCGAAATCGGTCGATGTGCGCGCTCTTACAACTGGAGATGATCAGTCGGTCTCCAGTTTCAGTCAGTTGCCCGTGTTCTACTTTTCGGCAACTAGTTGTCCTCAGTTTTTGAGATATGACCCGATGTGCGCGTGTATTGCACCCGCACCAGTTTATGTCAGAAAACACACTGTAGTTGAGGCCCGTTGCTGTCGATGTACGCGCTGTTATTCCCGAGACTGGTCTGCTACTGGGAGTTGCCCGTTTTCGTCAGATTGTCGATGTGTGCGGGGCAGCAACTCATATGCGACGGATATAATCAGTTGCCAGTCCGATGTACGCTTGGCTTTAGCCTTCTCGGTTTGTGAGAGGATGTGAAGCTGCTGCTTGTTGAAGAGCGTCCAGCACAGTTGCATCAAAGTCTACCTCTGGGTCAGCACTGTGATGAACTAAAACATTTAATAGTCTGTCCAGCCGAAAGAGTAGATAGTCCTCAGGTGCATTATGCTCAACATCATTAACATCATTTGCTAATGCTCTTAATTGATGAGCAATGGCTCCTAAAAAACTTACATTCGAAACTGCCATCATACCACACAAAAGTGCACAGAGGATCTCTAGCTAGCTAACAGAGTACCGTAATGTGAGGCAGGAATGATCGAGACCAGAGTTCACGCAATCCTAACCAATCTTGTTCTAGATTGAGTTCAGCACCGCCCACCTAATTAGCATACAGGAACACAGAAATACATAAATAAATAAATGAAGAAATGTAGCGACACAGAAATACATAAATAAATAAATGAAGAAATGTAGAAATACATAAATAAATAAATGAAGAAATGTAGAAATACATAAATAAATAAATGAAGAAATGCAGCAACACAGAAATACATAAATAAATAAATGAAGAAATGTAGAAATACATAAATAAATAAATGAAGAAATGTAGAAATACATAAATAAATAAATGAAGAAATGCAGCAACACAGAAATACATAAATAAATAAATGAAGAAATGTAGAAATACATAAATAAATATATGCAATAAATGGATAAATAAATAAAGGAAAAAATGTAGATTTTGATAAATAACCTAAATAAAAGTATATTTATTTGATTTCAGAGTAATATTTAGCATATCAATGTAAATATTTAGTTTTTATTGTCCAAAATGAATGTATTTATTAATATACTCCTGTATTTATTTATTTATTTATACTTTAGTCATTTTTGGTCCTCCATATGTTACGTCTTTTATCGTGGGAATACCACACGTATCCAGATCAGTTTTTGAATAAGTCTCAGTGAAGTGTCGCAGATGAACAGATTCATTCAAACAGAGGCAAATCCACGTGAAAAAAGTTGAGCTGCTTTCTTCCTCTTCGGGCCAAATAGTGCGTCACATATTTACACCCAAAACACATTTTATCCAAGTTAATGTGATCCTAACTCTTTTGGTGGCTGACAAAAGCAGAAAAACAGTAGCTCCATGTTGTGTTCACGGAACGGATCTGTAGCTCAGTAGCTCAGTTGGTAGAGCATTGGCCTTAAGGCCAGAAGGTCATGGGTTCAATTCCCACCTCTGCACCTTCTCCATCGACTCCCACTGATGACTGCTGTCGTTGTGTCCTTGGGCAAGACACTTAACCCCACTTTGCCCAAAGCCCCCACTGAAAGATCAAGGCTATGCTCACACTCAGAAATCAGCCGTCCTCCGACTACCTGCAGAGGGTCAGTGAGGGGCTGGTGCTATGAGACTTGGGTGGCATCTCTGACTGCCATCCCCCCTGACCCAGAAATGGATTAAAGGGTAGAAAATGGATGGATGGAATATTTTTGAGATCAATCGCATAATTGTTCTAGTTCGACTTTATTCTCATAATATTTTGACTTTAAAGTAAAAATGTTATGACTTTATTCTCAGTTTGGCAAAAGAAGAAAAAGGGTGGCTCTGTGTAACTCTTTGCTTTAGGCATGTCGCTGTTTCCTCTGGCGTCTGCACACGGCCCTGCAGTCCCTTTTATGGGCAATAATGGGCGGTTACTTATGCTAAGTACCTATGCTAATGACTCACCTGGCACACGCGCTCTACTTACGTGGAGTTGGCATTCATCAACCTAAGAGAAGAGCTGAAAACAACTCAGCGTTGATGAATCCCACGTAGGGTCTTCTTAGGGTGTATTCAGACCTGCACATTTGGTCCACTTTTAAACAGACCAGGATTCGTTTGGAACTCTGATCCGGACCTTTTATGCAGGTGTGAATACACACAAACGAATCCTGGTCCGGACCAAAGAACCAGACCGAGACCCACTTTATTAGGTGGTCTCGATCCGCTTCCAAACAAACTCTGGTTCGAGTCGATTCAGGTCTGAACATAAATTTTTTGGGCTTAACAAGCCGTAGACAGAAACTGTGAGGAATTACACGCGTCACAGCTGCTAACGCTACACAACAACAATGAGCCGTGGGCAGACCTGAAGCAATCAGGAGACGCTGTGCATCTGACTTATGGAGTTAAAACTTTTCACAGTATACAGTGATGTTAATGGCAGCATCTTCAAATAATTTGCATTATTAAAAGACTCGCGTGTTTGACTCACGTCTCAAAAAGCAATATCCTGTATCATGTAGTGAATTGTGTTCTTTGCTCCATACCTGATCCTCTGTCGTCTGTTTATCCACAATGCTGCTGTCAGTAAGTTGTGGGACAGGGTCGTTATTATTATAGATCCATGGACAGGGCAAGTAGCGCACAGAGACTCCTTCGGCTTTTGACAGCACACATTTGCCGACGCTGTTCTAAAATTTGAAACAACGCGTTTTGCCTGTGTCCAATGAGCTACTGCTGTTGCTCTTGAAGGTGCTTTCGCTCTAAAAAGAGCAAACATAGGCAGAGCAGACATCCAGCACGTACAAGCTCTATATTTTTTATATGTTTATAAAAAAGTTCACTTGCAAAAAGTACAGTCTGAATATGAACCGTAGCAAAAGAAAAATGTTTAGTCCGCTTTTGGTTCGGACCAAGCAAGCGGACCAAAGGACTCCTCTGGTCTGAATACACCCTTAGAAATCTATTAAGAACGACTTGAGTAGAAATATAAGATTCTTAAGAAGATATTGGTGAATGAGGCCCATTGTACTTTAGCATCAAAGAATTCGACCAAGTCAAGTTTAATTGTTAGAGAAAAATGGACGGAAACCATCACGTCCGTTACACATTTATCAAGGGTCATTTAATTTTTTTTATTTTTATTTTTAATTCAAATTATTTACTTATGTTGTGTTAACCATGTTAATCTTGTGGGATTTCATCTGCCGCTTTTTCAGACTGAGGACATTTTATTTTCTATGTAACTGGCGTCACAATAGAATGGTCAAATCTGAGGCTGATTTTGTCATTTAAAATGCAGCCAAAAACATATTTGTCAATCTTATCTTTTGATTTTAACCACACAATCTCTTCGATGTGTCTCTGTTTAACATCTTTTTTACAATCTATGATAGTAATTTTAGTTTTTGAGTTATAACCTTTTAAAGTCCAGATACTTTAATTGGCACTTTACTGTGAACACACTCAACAGATTATAACTCAGATGAATAGAATGTGTAATAATGTAGTAATTATGATTTTAACTATATCAAATGACTGATGTATATTCATTATGAGGAAATGCTGTTATAGGCGTTATAGTGCTATACAAAAAGGAATTGGATTGAATGAATTCCCCTTTGTGTCTCAGATGTTGGTGGTAAAGTCATTCACCTGGTGGAGCGGGCCCCTCCTCCAGCCTCTCAGCCCGGCTCTGGCTCAGGGGCCTCGCCTGTAGACAGCGCGGGCTCCTCTTCCACACCTCAGGGGCCGCCGGGACCGCCACACGACCGCAATGCCAACAGCTACGTGATGCTAGGGACGTTCAACATGCCGGTCAACATCATGGACCCGCAGCAGATACAGGTATCAGCTGTAACCAGGCCTTTTACCATACATGATCACCATAGAAACTAAAGATTCAGAACAAAGACTTGTTAGGACATTGCCTTTGCTTAAGTGACTTCTATGAACTGTTGAGGAATGATGTCACACGCAAGTGATCATGAACTCGCCTGGAGGACAGAGGCTCTGTTCCCTTCAGCTCTAGTCACAGTGCTCTGTGGTCCGTGTGTAGTTTGATAGTACATACAGTGGGGCAAAAAGTATTGGGTTAGCCTTCCATTGTGGAAGTCCTCCCACTTATAAACGTGAGGGATGCCTGAACATTTCTGCATAGGTATAATTCAACCAAAATGTTGTGTCTAAACTGAAACGTCAGTGTTGAAAGCTGCCAAAGGGCCCTCCTAGATCCCTGCACGGGCCTATTATCTGGGCCCGAGCCCGGCCCTGGCCCGAGGGGGTGGCGCCCCAGCCCGGTCCGTGTCAGAGGTAATTATACGGTCATCGGCCCAAAGCCTGGTCCTCAGGCTGTGGGGCCCCTCAGGCCAAGGGCTCAAGTGCAGGGCTCTTGGCCCTCCCCTCGCAGATAAAACAATATTGTCTATGAATCTTAATTTAATCCGTCATAGAATATTTCTTGCTCTTCAAGTTCACTGTGCATGTGTGACATCACCTCATGTAAACATAAACATTCAACAAGTCTTTTGGAGAGACTTTGTGCCACATTTGGCTTTCTTAACTTTCAAATATGATGATTTTGAACAGAAAATCCAGGAAAATGGATGGATAAACATAACTCACATAATACACATCTCTTATATAGATTTTGGCTGGTGTGTTTGTCTTTATCAGATGTCTGTGCAGCAGATGGTGTCGGGGATGGGAGAGAGCGCCCGGAACGCCAGAGTGACCACCTCCACCGGGGTAAGACCTGGACTGGGACAACTACTCCCTTTGTGAAGCCAACGTTCATATACAGGGACTGAGGCTGTAGCTCCGGGACTGAGGCTGTAGATCCAAGACCGAGGCTGCAGAGGTCTCGATGGATGATTTGTGTGTTGCTGTGTAGAGTAACGGCTCGGTGAACGTCCACATCGACATGGAGCAGCCGGTACAGAGTGAGCCACGTCTGAGGCTGGTGTTGGCTGAGAACCTGCTGCGAGACGTCAACGAGATGGTGACACGCATGGAGGTGAGACCGCGCTACAGACCGACACACGCTTCAGACGTCTTCTGCTCCAAACCAACATTTCAAACTTTTTAACACCAATGTTTCTCATCAGCCACGCACATACTCAGAGTAGTTTTCTACCCTTTAAAACAAAAGTATTGCCAATGATTTAGTTTTGGTGATTTTTCAGGTGAAATTACGTTCCTTACAATCACATGTCTTTCATTGCAGCTCCCTCTAATGGCAGCATAAGGCGTTACAGGCAGAAGGCAGTTTTTACCCTTCATACCATATATTTTCTACTCAAAGTTATTATTTCACATTCTATAAGTGAATTATCCCATAATTATTTTAATTGTCAAATATAATGTCTAATAATTCTTCTTTTGAAGGGAAAATATCAATACTAAAATGTTGACCATGACCAGAAGCAACACAGTTTTAACGACTCCTTGTGTTCCTAGAGTCGCTCCAGTGACGCGTCCTCGCAGACCGACACCGCAGCGTCCTCGCAGACCGACACCGCAGCGCCCTCTGCAGGCTTGTCTCCATCAGTTCAGCCCATGGACACCTCCCCTCCCCCCTCCACTCCCCCTCCTCCCCCCTCCTCCACCGCATCAGAGGGCCCTACGCCTCAGCCCGGGCCCAAGTAAGACACACTGTCCGGTCCCATTACTTGCTGTTGATCGGCCTCTGGGACCTTTATACCCTATAGTATGTTTTCCCATAATTTTCAGAAAGTAACTGTAAATACTAGATGTTAAAGTAGTAACTGTAATGGAATACGGTTACTCAAAAAGAGTATTCTGAATACGTCACAGCGTTACATGTATTCCGTTACTCCCCACCACTGCCTATTCTGTATCTCTGTTCAGAATAGGCAACTGCATATAGATAGTCAATGTTAATCTGCTGGTTCCATGCTTACTCGCTAGCTCAATAAAGCTCAGCAGGTCCGCACATTAAAAGCGGATAGCCGCTTTATGCTGTTACTCACGGTAACATTGGGCGTCTAGAGAAGACGCGGGGATGCGCCGCCACAATGCACTTTTTAACATAAAGCGGCCACCCGCTTTTAATGTGGCTGACTCCGAAAACCCGGACCTCTTTACCGCGGTGTGTGGCCGCAGTGGAAACATTCTGCGAACGCCAGGCAGGGGACATGGTGAAGGGGACAGGGGCGTCATAACACCGGGCATGTGGGTGAATGCAGCAGGGATAAACAACCGCGGGGAACGCGGGAGACGTGGCAGAAGCATAGACTGTATATACCGCTAATCTGCCTTTACGGACGGCGATGATGATGATGAAGGCAGAGAGGAAGAAAATCCATAAAAGTGGATCAGAAATGTTGAAGAGCCTGTTGTTTATTGTTGAGACAATCTGACAAGTTCTGAGCCCATTCATTTAATCGCTCTGTTTCTAATCGATGAATTCTGGAGCCTCATTTCCACTGAGAGAAACTGTATGCCACCAGGTCTTTTGAAAGGGTAATATTGAAACCAAAGTGCAGATTTCATGACTGGTAAACTATAAGCAGTGCCATCTTGATCATTGAAGGTCTAATACATGTAAAGTTCCATATGGCCGCTGACCAGTGCTAAAATGTTCTATATAAATTGGATCAGTGAATTTATTCCTATCCCACATTGTGTTTTCATACTGAAGATATTTCACATTGACTGTTGACAGTATTCCCAGATCTCAAAATACACTCTCATACTACAGATTTTTGAAATCTTTATACAATAAACATTTTCCTAATTGGCCACCACCTTGATGACGTCACAATATGCAAATTAGATGACGAATCAACTTCCATCCCAAAGTTTGGTTCATACTGAAGATAGTTCTCATTTACAATATGCCTTAATCTCAAACTACTTAAAAGTTATAGCCTTTTGAAATCTTGAAATCAAAATTGTAAAATTTTTTGAAAGAAATGGGCTGTCCAGAAGTTCAACTTTTTAGCACTAACCATCTTGTGGGTTTAGTCCATGGTTTTGTCAAGGAGAAAATTAGCATACAGCACTTACAGTCACACTGCTAGCAATCAGACATGGATTTACATTTGTCAGTGTGAATGCTGTGATGTACAGGAAACACGGCACAGAGATTACCCCTTAGCCAATCAGGACGCAGAACACAATACGCTGGTTCTTCCTTAGCCAATCAGGATGAACATTGCAAGTTCATATACAGTGAAAATCCTGCTACAAATAAATTTGCAAGACCGCGAAAAGAGAACCTCTATTCATCTGAGGAGACTCCGATTCAGAATAAAGAATAACACATTTTTCCTGTACGGAAGTGTCTGATTTGGTGTTTGTAAGTAATTTTTTTACTATCATGTTTTAGATTATAGATTAGACAGCGAGCCAGATCAGATATATCCCAATGAAAATAATGTTTTTTCACTTTGATGTGAGAATTGTATACATGCATGTGTAAGAAAATTGAGGGGGGGATATCCCCCCCTTGGGCCATGGCTAGGGGGGGACTGATCCCCCCCATCCCCCCCTCTGGAGGAAACCCTGGTAGGGTAGGGTAGGGCTAATGTAAATGGGGTCTATGATCATAGTGTTTATATTTTTTCACACGCCTGTGACTCTACAAGCGTTAAGGCATTAGTTTGCGCGGTTGCTCAGCTAATGGTGCGTTTTCCTCGCTCCACAGCCACCCGAGCCCCGCAGAGTTGGCTGACATGCTGACGGAGTTGAGAAGGGTGGAGGAGAGACTGCAGCCCTTCATCCAGAGAGCGCACACTATTTTGGAGACCGCCACCAACGCAGACTACAGCAACAACACGGTACCAATCTAACACACACCCACACAGATGTTTCTCTCTATGACATCATCGGTCACACAGATGTTTTCTCTCTGACCTGGTGTTTGCGCCTCCTGCAGGAGCGTGAGGAGGAGCAGCGTGCGCTCACCATGACTTGGGAGTGTCTGCGTCTCCTGGGGAATGCCCTGGTGGCTCTGAGCGACCTGCGCCTCAACCTCATGAGCCCCGTGCCCAGACACCTGCACGTGGTCCGCCCGTTCTCCCACTACAGCGCCCCCTTCAGCGTGCCCGGAGCCATGCACCCACCCATCCCTATGCAGGTGTGCTCATCCTCTATACTGTCCTGGTTGAAGGGTGAATCATGGCATAATTTAAATTAGTTTGTGAGTTCCAGATTGTAATTACCGTACTTTCTTGACTAAAACGCACATCTGTATTTAAATCACACCACCTAAATGTTAAAAGACGATCCATTTTGTCCACATGCATTCCGCACCAGAATATAAGCTGCAGTAATGTAGCACATAGAAGACTGTTATAACTGGACTCAACATGATTTAATGATGAGGTGTTTAACAACATTAGCTTAGCTAAACAACCGTTAGCTTCATACATTGACCTCCATCTTTTTTGAAAATAGTGTCCTATAGCTACTAAAACTTGATGGAGCCAAAATAATAAGTCCATAAACTCTGCTCTGACAACAACCCAACTCTACAACAATAAAAACACCCATCACATCAGCCGCATCACTCTATAGGCCACAGGGTTCAGAGCATCGGCCGAAAGGTTCTGCTCCAGACAGGTGCCATGTGGACATGAGGAGTCAGGCAGATGAAGAGCAGAGCAGTAGTACTGGCTAAAAATGTTGTTGTTAAATGTCTTTATTTGGACACTGTTGTATGATTTTATGTGGTTTTCTCATTCTCAGAGATGAAACTAAATACACGTCCACATAATTGTCTCCTGTCTTCTTAAACATGGGAGTAATCTCTGTTTTCTTCCTCCGCAGATGAACTTGGGTGCCACAGTGACTGTCTCGGCCAACAGCACTGATGGACAAGCCCCTCCCCCTGCAGCCGCCGGCCAGTCGGAGCAGGCAGGTCAGGGACAAGTCCCTCCCTCTCAGACTTCCCCGTCCAATCAGCAGGCTGGACAGGGCCCAGCTGGTGGCCCCCGGGTCATCAGGATCAGCCACCAAGCCGTGCCGCTGGTTCTGATGCAGATGAACGCGGACGGTGTGTGGCCCTCCAGCCCTGAGCACTTCATGCTCCCAACTTAAACTCACAAACAATACTGGATATGTGCCCTGAGGAGGTGCTGGGGAGGGCTGAGGTTAGAGGAGATGTTCTGAGGAAGTTATGGGAGGTTCTGATGAGGTCTAAGGAGGTTCTTATAAAGTTAGAGTGGGTGCTGTTGAGGAGATAAAGGGATGATGATCATTTTGATTTTTAAACTCATCTATTCTTTGTGCAGCTCCGGGTGTAAATACAGCTGGACCTGGCCCAGTCCCCGGTCCACAGATGCCAGGAGCTCAGCCAGGTAATCCCGACCTGGGTTTGTATGTTCTCCCTGTGTCTGCAGGTTTCCTCTGCGTGCTCCAGTTTCTCTTACCACTAAAAACCTGTATTAGGTCTGAATGTAGTGAGTGTGATTGGATGGAGATGGTTGGACTGGGAGTTTGGCGTCTCGCTTCTGTCACACTGTGAGTGAATGGAAATTACATCAAGATTGTAATGTGCTGTGCGTGAGCATGGTGTGTAAAATGCGCTATATGAATAAAGTTTACTTACTTATAAACAGGGGCGACAGTGGCTCAGTTGGTAGAGCATTGGCCTTTAGGCCTGAAGGTCGTGGGTTCAAGCCCACCATGAGACCTACTTCATGACTCCCACTGATGACTGCTGTCGTTGTGTCCTTGGGCAAGACACTTAACCCCACTTTGCCTGAAGCCCCCGCTGAAAGATCTCGGCTCCTGTGGACTCACCACCTGCAGGAGGATCAGTGAGGGGCTGTTGCTCGGTGTAATGGGTGGCATCTCTGACTGCCACCCCCCCAACCCAGAAATGGATTAAGGGGAAGAAAATGGATGGATACTTATAAACAGGTGTGCACATAAGTGGTACGCAGGTATGCATGCGCAACAAATATCAGAAATGCGTACTATCTCTTGAGTTAGTAAGCGCATTTGCGTACTTCACATAGACTCTCTGTGGGGCGCTCCTCCCGAGGGGGACGTGGTGCAACAATGCCAGTGTGACGGAGCGGTCCGTCTCTAGCTACGTGCGCGAATATAGTATCATACAAGGCTGACTTTCATGCCGCATGTGCCACACGCACACACACGCCATGCCATACTCGCGCACGCTTTCCCCCCGTTCCATTCAAACATCCACACGCATCTCTCCCCTCGCCAAAGGTGCACACTTGCGCGGGTCAGAAATACATAGATTCAAGCATACATTTACACACACATTTACCGGTCTGTCACGCTCCTCTGAGTCTGTGCGCGAGGATCGAACCAGGACACTATTTCCTGGAGGGTTAAATGGGAATTATGCCCATGTGATGTGCATAACCAAGTGTACATGTTTTGAGAGTATAGTGATGTAATGTAATGTAATTTCTACCAAAATAATTTGCTCAATGGGAGGGGCCAGGAGCCGTATTTGGCACAGTCTGCCGATGGTTACAGAGGAGGTAACTTGAAACTTAAAGGTGACCTTTGTGTTCAATGTTTTTTTTTGTGCTTTTTAGTTGTAAATACATTCTGCACTGCATCCACCATTTTTTGCTCTCTGGGAGTATAGAAAATAAACCCACCTAAGCACTGGACTCCGAGCTCGCCTGTTTTATCAAACAGAATATTGTTTGATTTTTTTTGTATTTTGTTTTGCCTATTTATGAAAGAGACCCGTTTCAATATTTGACTTGGATTGAGTGGATTATCCGAGCTGATATAAACTTTAGCATTACAAAGAAGCAAGTATAAAATCTCGATTAAGAACCGCGCGGCAAATGGAGTGAGTACCAAACACCATCTCCTGGTACTCATCTGAGTAGCTCACTGAAAAAGTTATGTGCACCCCTGCGTATAAAGGTAAATGGATATGGAGAGGACACTTTTTGCACTCAAAAGTAGTATATGTTACAGGATAATCTATGCGCACAACGCAGGCCATATATTAGATCATTGACTTTAATCAAGTCAAATCTTTACAGAGTAATCAGAATCAGAATCATTTTTATTGCCACGTAAGTAACAGGAGGTCACAGACTAGGAAATTGCTTTGGATCAGTGCAACAGTCAGAAAGAGATAATAAAAAATAAAGAATAAAAAACACTTCTAAGGAATAAATTTAAATTTAGAATAGAGTTACAGTTACTATTCACAATATACAAGTGCACATGGTGCACACAATGTAAGGTGACAACAGTACAGTGAAGTAAAGTGACGTATGATGGGCAGTAAAGTGACTTTATAAAGGGCGGGGCAACAGGTTTAGAAGTGTTCAAGAGTCCAACAGCAGAGGGGAAGAAACTGTTCTTGTGGCGGGAGGTTCTAGTCCTGATGGACCGCAGTCTCCTGCCTGAGGGGAGTGGTTGGAATAGTCCCTGTGCAGGGTGAGAGGGGTCGGCTGTGATACGACCAGCCCGGCCTCGAGTTCGGGCGACGTACAGGTCCTGCAGCGATGGAAGGCTGCGGCCAATCACTTCCTCTGCAGAGCGCACAATGCACTGTAGTCTCTGCTTGTCCCTGACTGTGGCTCCAGCGAACCACACGGTGATGGAGGAGGTGATGGAGGAGGTGATGGAGGAGGTGATGGAGGAGGTGAGGATGGACTCGATGATGGCCCTGTAGAACTGCACCAACATCTGTGCATGGGGGAGTCCATCACGGAGGGTGGGGGCGGGGGGACAGTGCTGTTCCTGAAGTCCACAATCATCTCCACTGTCTTCTGGGCGTTCAGCTCCAGGTTGTTACCACTGCACCAGGACACCAGCCGGTCCACCTCCCTCCTGTAGGCGGACTCATCGTTGTTGGAGATGAGTCCAATGAGGGTGGTGTCGTCCGCGAACTTGATCAGCTTCATGGAGTCGTGGCTGGAGGTGCAGTGGTTGGTGTACAGGGAGAAGAGCAGGGGAGAAAGAACACAGCCCTGTGGGGCTCCTGTATTTATAATTTGAGAGTCCGAGACATTCTTCCCCAGACTCACTCGCTGCTTCCTGTCCGTCAGGAAGTCAGTGATCCACCTGCAGGTGGAATCGGGCAGAGGTGGGACAAAGTCATTGTTTAGCAAGTCACAAGTCAGTCTCAATTCATTGCCCTCAAGTCCAGAGTCAAGTCACGAGTCAAGACAGGCAAGTCCCGAGTCGAGTCCAAGTCAAAGGCCAACAAATCTCAAATCAGTCCCAAGTCCTACGGTTTGACTTTCGAGTCCTCTCGAGTCTTTTTGACCGCGATTTGTTTCTTGTTGGTCTCCACGTACTTTTTGTAGGCAAACAAAATAATGTTAGGAATCATTTTGCTGGTGCATTCTCGTTGGTCTCTGACCCATGGACTAACAGTTTGTTCCATGTGGTTGGCTGCTGGTAAATCAAAACTATGTTGTGCCAGATGCAGGCTCAGTTACACATGCACAGACCACACATAAAATCAGAGCAGTCCGTGTCAACATACTTTTTATCTTTGGGGTTTTTAATGGGAAGTAGCAAGTGCAGCATATATGAATATGAGTATTGGGCTAGGACCTGTATCTATATAATCAGTTTAATGTCCGTAGTGGTTATTGTTCCAAAGGACTGAAGGGACCAATGGAGGGGAAGGAACCTGGCCTGTATGAACTGGGCCAGCATTAGTAATATCTCATAATTACCAATATATCATTACATAATAAAATGTCTCATATAAATTAATTCAATCAGTCAAATCACTGATTCTCATATCAATGCACCATAAACAATAGTGCAAATATTAATCTAGCTTAGTGCACATAATCAAAACAACTATCTAACGTATGCAAACTTTAGCAGGAGGAGCACAGCAAAAACATACTCATAATAATAGCCTCGGCGCCCACACAGAAAAATATAAGAAAGAGCCAACAGAGCAGCGCAGGCTAGCGCTAGTTTGACTCACCAGTTCCTCTTTAAAACACGGCACACAGTGTGACAACTGCGTCGATTCAATTGTATGAGGCGCCTGTAGTGAAAGCATATCAATTACGGTTTGTAGAACAAAATATGACGTTAGGTCGCGATAAATACCTGCAGCTCGCTCATTTCCAGCTCCCCTAGACAACACACCCACCGGTGAATGCAGTCCGCTTGTTTAGGGAAGTGTTGCTGCGCGAACTGCCTGGAACTCACGTTCGAACTCTCTCGCGAGTGCTACAACTACCGCGAGGCTTTGTTTCTTCAGAGACGGCATAGATAGAAAGAGAGATGCGGAGAAAGGTAAAAATGGCCCGGGTTACGCAAGTCTTTGCAAGTCAATTGGCGCAAGTCCAAGTGAAAGTCAAGAGTCATTGATGTTAAAGTCCAAGTCGAGTTGCAAGTCTTTTTATATTTGGTCAAGTCGAGTCTAAAGTCATCAAAATCATGACTCGAGTCTGACTCGAGTCCAAGTCACATGACTCGAGTCCACACCTCTGGAATCGGGCACGTTGAGCTGGGAGAGCTTGTCCTGGAGCAGGGACGGCAGGATCGTGTTGAAGGCAGAGCTGAAGTCCACGAACAGGACCCTGGCGTAGGTCCCCGGGGAGTCCAGGTGCTGTAGGATGTGGTGGAGGGCCAGGTTGATGGCGTCGTCTACAGATCTGTTGGCTCTGTAGGCGAACTGCAGGGGGTCCAGGAGGGGGGAGGTGAAGGACTTGAGATGGGAGAGGACCAGGCGTTCAAATGACTTCATGACAACAGACGTAAGTGCTACAGGTCTGTAGTCATTGAGTCCTGTGATCCTGGGCTTGTTCGGGACGGGGACAATGATGGAGGATTTGAAGCAGGCCGGGACATGGCAGGACTGCAGAGAGGTGTTGAAAATGTCAGTGAACACAGGAGTAAGCTCACTGGCGCAGTGTCTCAGAGTGGCCGGAGACACGTGGTCCGGGCCAGGAGCTTTGCGGGGGTGCAGCCTCAAGAAGAGTTGTTTAATATCTTTAGAGGCTATTGTCAGGGTGGGGGCAGGGCTGATGGGTGGGTCGTTAGAGTAGTGGGGGGTGGGGGAGATGTCAGGGGGAGGTGTCAGGGGCAGCTTGTGGTCGTCAGCACAGGGGGGGGCTTTGGGCTTGTAGTTGGTGATCTCCCGTAGGCCCCTCCAGACAGAAGCAGTATCGTTGTTACCAAACTGCTCCTGTAGTCGTTCTCTGTGCCGGGACTTGGCTGCTTTTAGTTCTTTCCTGAACTGATATTTAGCTGCTTTGTAGCCGCTGCGGTCCCCCTCCCTGAAAGCAGACTCCTTTGCTTTTCTGAGCTGTGGAGTTTAGCAGTGAACCAGGGTTTGTCGTTGTTATAGATGACCCCGGTCCTTGTTGGAATGATGCTATCCTCGCAGAAGTGAATGTATGACGTCACAGTGTCCGTATATTCATCCAAACTATCTGTGGCAGCTCTGAAAAGGTCCCAGTCTGTAGATTCCATGCATGCAGCTCTTCCACAGCTTCATCAGACCACACTTTGGAGCTCCTCACTGCAGGTTTCGAGAGCTTTAGTCTCGGTCTGTAAGCCGGGATCAGATGTATCATGGAGTGATCTGAGAAGCCGAGGGCTGCTTTGGGAACAGCGTGAAAAGCTCAGCGCACAGTGGTGTAGCAGTGATCCAGAGTGTTCTCCTCTCTGGTCGGGCATTTGATAAACTGTCTGTATTTGGGTAATTCCTGGCTCAAGTTTTCCTTATTAAAATCCCCCAGGATAATAATCGGAGAGTCCGGGTATAAACGCTCCATACACAGTACTTGCTCTGCGAGTGCACGCTGAGCCTCGCGCGCGTCCGTGCATGGCGGTATGTGAACAGAGGCAAGAATGAATGAAACAAATTCACGAGGGGAGTAAAACGGTTTACAATAAACAAGAGTAAGACCATTGCGTGGTGCGTGTTGTAGAAAAATAAAACTTTTTTCTCGTTTCTCTCTCTGGACCCTGTCTCTCCCATCTCCATTTTTGCTCTCTCTCTCTTGTCTCTCTCTCCTGTCTCTCTCTTGTCCCGTGTCGCTCTGCTCCCTCTCTCGCTCTGCTCCCTCTCTCTCTCTTTGGTCATACTCTCAGGAGCTCCCCCTCAGGACTTCATGCGTAACCTGATGCAGCAGATCAGCCAGTACGCCGCCGCAGTTGCCACCACCGCTGCGACTGCCGGGGTGAATGGTCAGCCGGTGCCGCCCACAGCCTCCACCGCCTCCACAGCCTCCCCTACCTCCACCCCTGCCCCTCCTCCTCCTCCTCCCTCTGCACAGGGTACCCCACCTCCTCAGCCCAGAGTGGTGTTCGCCAGGCCTCCCTTCCCTCCCAACATGCCCCCTCCCCCAATGTTCGGAACCAGAGGGACCACCATCAACGTGAGGGCCGCCATGCCAGGACAGCAGCCCGGCCAGGTGAGCAGGATCCAGGCACTTAAAGGAGAGGTACCATGCATGTTGACCTGGAGCTGTTTTTAGATGCATCCACGCTGATACTTAGTGCTGGCACAAATGTGTATCTCCGCTTAAAATCTACCCATCACACTCTGAGTGAGAGGGTCCAGAGTGAGAGGGTCCAGAGTGAGAGGGTCCAGAGTGAGAGGGTCCAGAGTGAGAGGGTCCAGAGTGAGAGGGTCCAGAGTGAGAGGGTCCAGAGTGAGAGGGTCCAGAGTGAGAGGGTCCAGAGTGAGAGGGTCCAGAGTGAGAGGGTCCAGAGTGAGAGGGTCCAGAGTGAGAGGGTCCAGAGTGAGAGGGTCCAGAGTGAGAGGGTCCAGAGTGAGAGGGTCCAGAGTGAGAGGGTCCAGAGTGAGAGGGTCCAGAGTGAGAGGGGCCAGAGTGAGAGGGTCCAGAGTGAGAGGGTCCAGAGTGAGAGGGGCCAGAGTGAGATTATATATATAATTCTTTTTTTTTTTTATTTAACGAGGAAAGTCCCATCGAGATTAAGAACCTCTTTTTCAAGGGAGTCCTGGACAAAAGTTACATACAATTACAGATTATAAAACGGTTAGATACAATTACAGATTATAAAAAGTTACATTTCAATGAGGATGTCTCAGTCTCAATCTGGATCTAAAAGCATTCAATGAAATAAGTTCCGTTAATTTCCAGTCTTTTCGGAACACGTTCCATGTAGAAGGAGCAGCAAATATAAAAGCTTAATTTCCCAGTTCTGTGCAAAAGGAACAGAGAGCAACAAAAGATCATTTGATCCAAACCATTTGAACATGTCTCTGTGAACGACAGATGTAGAGCGCAGCAGACCAAGCCTTAGAAACTAAAGTGCACCAGTGTCCAGACCTTCTGTGGACAAAGAATGCCATTCACTGCAGTGAATCATTCTCAGTGGTGAGTCAAGGCTTTGCAGTTCGTAATGAATTGAACATTTTAATTGAATCATTATTTAAGTACAGTTTTTAGTTTTTTCCTATATTTAAGTCTTACTGCTGAAACTGTGTAAAATGTTACAATGGCTGACAATATTAAATATACTTCTTTAGGAATGAAACCTCTGCCTTGTTTTTGATGAATACTGTGTGGTGTTGGTCATTTGTGGTGGTACTTGGAGAGGCAAGTATTTTCTGAGGTGGTACTTGGTGTAAAAAGTTTGAGAACCACTGGTTTAGTGGACTCTCTGCTCTCTCTGCTCTCTCTTTGGTCTGTCTCTAGTCTCAGAGGACTTACAAAAACATACAGCTGCTACTTCAAGGATTTCACTTATTGCTGGTTATGTTTAGAATGTAATCCAGGCACCACTATTACAATAAGTTTTTTAATTTCATTCAACAGGCATTTAACCCTCTGGCTCTAAACCAGATGATCAGTGGACTGGTGGGACAGCTGCTTCTGCCTGGACAAATGGGTAAAGTTTAACTAGTTATTGATCGTTTAGAATTGGGTGAACAGTGAGTGGGAGCACAGATGTTATTTGATTCTGGGAAAAAGATCTGAGTTAGAACCAGTAAGAACTGCTCAATTTAGTTGGCAGGAACGCAAAAGACTTAAAGGCACAGGGTTTATTTTCTTTTTTGATTGAATGTATGTGATGTAAAAATGTTGTAAAAAAGCAAAGAGCTCATACTTTTTTATCCATTAGAGCAGGGGTCTCCAACCTCCAAGCTCTGCCGTTATTGTAGCAGGAAAGTACCTCTCTGGGTGAAAAAGGTTGGAGACACCTGCATTAGAGCATCCATTATAACAATCACATGTCTGTTTGTGGATGCTCATTTTAGAATTTGGACTAAATCCAAACATTCTACTCCTCCCTCTGGTGGAAGCATTGGAATCATTCTTGTTTCACTATTTTGCTTTCTACTAAAGACATTACTTCACATAAAACATGAAATGGCAAAGTAATATTGTATTATTACTCTAATAAATGTACGTGTAATCTCCTCTCGCCCCCAGCCGGTCAGACGGGAACCTCTACCTCCAGCTCCTCCTCCAGCTCCAACTCCAGCTCCAACTCTACCTCTTCCTCTACCACTACCACCTACTCCACCATGTTTTTCCCCTCCAGCTCCTCTGCAACGGGTCAGAGTCAGGCTGACCCTCCGTCCGCCCCCTCTGCCACCTCTGCACCCTCCGCACCCTCCGCACCTCCGCCCCAGTCCCAGGAGCTGCCTCCAGAGTTGAGCCAGCTGCTGGGCTCTCTGCTGGGCATGACTGGAGGGCCAGCTCCCTCCATCACAGTGACCACCTCCGGAGTCCCAGGCTTCATGCAGGGGGTCGGCGAGTTCATGCACCAGGTAGGCTCTCTGTGAGCTCTACGCCCCAGCACAGAAGAGGGAGACCAGAGAGGGAGACCAGAGAGGGAGACCAGAGAGGGAGACCAGAGAGGGAGACCAGAGAGGGAGACCAGAGAGGGAGACCAGAGAGGGAGACCAGAGAGGGAGACCAGAGAGGGAGACCAGAGAGGGAGACCAGAGAGGGAGACCAGAGAGGGAGACCAGAGAGGGAGACCAGAGAGGGAGACCAGAGAGGGAGACCAGAGAGGGAGACCAGAGAGGGAGACCAGAGAGGGAGACCAGAGAGGGAGACCAGTCTTATAATGCTTTTAAAATATAAAAATTGATACCAACATTTTATGACTTTCCATTTATATTTTTTTGCTTCTTTAGGCATCTCAGCCGGTCTTCACCCACCCCCCCTCTTCTGCCTCTGGCCCAGCCCCGACCCCCACAGCGGCCCCTGGAGCTGTCCCAGGCCAGGGCCCTGGAGCAGAAGCCCTGAACCCAGAGCTGTTCACGGGGATCCTGGGCGGAGTGCTGCGGACCATGATGGGCTCTTTGGGACAGAGCCAGAACGACACGGAGAGCATCGCACAGTTCATGCAGAGACTGTCCCAGGCCACTAACATCTCCATCAGCCCGGAGGACCCGACCGGTAAGGGCCTGTCTCGTACCCCCAACACTTAACCCTTCAGGTGCCACAGGTTTTTTCCTAAAACACTCAAACTTGACTTCTTAAAAGGCTTTCAAAAGGCTATAACTTGAAAGTGAAGAGAAAGAGGCTTTATGTAAATTAGATAAATATTACGGATGGCCCAAATGTGATGTAAGTATTAAATGTACCCATCTAATTTGCATATTAAGACACGTTAGGGTGATGGCCATCGTAGAGTTTTGATTTTTAATTTTTCAAACTGGTCTCTCCTTTCGGAAAATCCTCATTGCTATTATTTCGAACTGATTCAACATGCTTTTGCTCGTATATTTTGTATAGAAGCATCACAATTGTGTCTAATAGTATTGTCAAAATTAATTCAAACTCTGCCAGACATATCATATGAATATTGACACCCTATTTGACACAATCGGCCGTTTTGAACGGTACCGCATCTTGTCACCTTAAAGGAATAGGCCCGCCGTTTTTACATACTGACATATGTTCTTACCTTACCTTAGACTAGTTGATATGTACCTGTCTGGTCTTTGTCCGTGCGCTCTGTCAGGCAAACGCAGCACAAACACAGCCTCTTCCACAGACTGTATAGTTCCAAATCAGCTCCCGTTAGAAGCTCCCAAACTCTTCCACGTGTTCCCTATTTAAATACAGTTACGTGACGTGTTACACTACCAAGTATAGTAACACAGCAATGTAACAAGTTGATTTTCTCAGCGGAGTAAAAGGTATATTGTGAGGCGTAATAGTGCGCGGACGTAGTGCTCCTCGTATTAACTCCTAAAGACTTGTCTCCCGCTCACCTCCATCAATAGAAGCAGCGTGACTTGTAGTAAGTCTTTAGGAGTTCGTGCGCGGGGAGGGCGCTGTTGTGCTGTGTGAGATAAAGTAGAGCGAAACAAACCCCAGTGACCCAAGATGTCAGCTCTAGGTTTCTTAACATTTATTATTCCATTTCTGGGTTGGGGGGTGCCAATCAAGAGTTGCCACCCAATGCTCAAAGCACCAGCCCCTCGCTGATCCTCCTGTAGGTGGAGAGCCCACGGGAAGATGGCTGCTACTTCGACGAAGATACAGCCTTGGTGTTTCAGCGGGGGCTTTGTGCAATGTAGGGTTAAGTGTCTTGCCCAGGGACACAACGACAGCAGACTTCAGTGGGAGCAGAGGACATGGGTAATGGGGGGATCGAACCCACAACCATTAGGTTCCTCTAACTGCCTGTTCAAATCAACGGCCTGTGCTCTTTGGCGTATGCTCGCACCACGGAGGCCCAAATATTTTTGGAAAGAGACGCAATTCAACCAATCAGACAGAAGGGGCGGGGCTAGATGTTTGCCAGAAGTTCCTGATATTAGCGTCTAAAACAATTTCAGGTCAGTGGCTGATATTGTGACATGGAAAAAAAAAAGTAAAGGGCAATTTTGCAGTATATGTCTCCTTTAAATGAGCAATTGTATGAATAAAACCATGAAATAAGGGGTGTTGTATTGATCTGTGTGTGTGGGGTCAGGGTTCTTTGGGGAGCTCCTGATGCTGGTGTGTCAGACCTTCACTATGTCGGACCTGGTCCTGCTGCTACATGGTCAGCACCAGCCCCTGAGCCGCATCCAGCCTCAGCTCGCACAGTTCTTCAGACACAACTACCTGAGCGACCGCGAGCCCACCGAGCAAAACATCAACGTGAGTACCAGAGAGGGAGGGAGGGAGTCAGGGAGACCAGAGTTGGAGGGAGGGAGGGAGACCAGAGAGAGAGGGAGGGAGGGAGGGAGGGAGGGAGACCAGAGTTGGAGGGAGGGAGGGAGACCAGAGAGAGAGGGAGGGAGGGAGGGAGACCAGAGTTGGAGGGAGGGAGGGAGACCAGAGAGAGAGAGAGGGAGGGAGGGAGGGAGACCAGAGAGAGAGGGAGGGAGGGAGACCAGAGAGAGAGGGAGGGAGGGAGACCAGAGAGGGAGGGAGGGAGGGAGACCAGAGAGAGAGGGAGGGAGGGAGACCAGAGAGAGAGGGAGGGAGGGAGGGAGACCAGAGAGGAGGGAGGGAGGGAGGGGAGACCAGAGAGGGAGGGAGGGAGGGATGGAGACCAGAAAGAGAGGGAGGGAGGGAGGGATGGAGACCAGAGAGAGGGAGGGAGGGAGACCAGAGAGAGAGGGAGGGAGGGAGGGATGGAGACCAGAGAGAGAGGGAGGGAGGGAGGGATGGAGACCAGAAAGAGAGGGAGGGAGGGAGGGATGGAGACCAGAAAGAGAGGGAGGGAGGGAGGGATGGAGACCAGAGAGGGAGGGAGGGAGGGATGGAGACCAGAGAGAGGGAGGGAGGGAGGGATGGAGACCAGAGAGAGGGAGGGAGGGAGGGATGGAGACCAGAGAGAGAGGGAGGGAGGGAGGGATGGAGACCAGCAGAGGGGGAAACTAGTCAAAGTCTAATTATTGTCTGACTTTGTACCAATGCTGATGAGTGCTGTTTCGCTGCGAATCATCGAGGCGACGTCATGTCCCTTGGTTTTTGTGTGTTTTACAGGAAGCTGCTGAAACTTTAATAAATGAACTGGAGGAATACATCACAGAGAGCTTTGTGAGTAAAGCATCAGAGCAAAGAGTCAAACCACTCCTCAAAGGACCGGTGTTGCTGAGTTTTTTTCCAATGTGTCTTCATGGTCAATTTTAATCTTGCGTTTGAATTGTCTTAAGTCAGTGTTGGAATTTAAATGTTCAAGAGCTTTTTGTGTTTGTGGTTATTACGGCTGATAACACAGGTCGTAAAACAGTTTGGATAAGTTCATATAGATTCACATTTCACAAGTGTTTACCATCTGAGCACAGCTACATAAGCGCCATTAATGGAATTTTGGGACACAGTTTAGTTTCAGTTTATACAAATATAATTAACAACTTGATTCCAGAGGTTCACACGGAGGTACAGCATGTCTATGTTGGTGGAGCTGAAGTTGGCTGGATGATATTGTGAATTTGTTTTTATGATCTCAACGTCTTTTTTTGTGTTAGTGGTAGAGGGCCACAGAACAGAACATCTGGGGAATGTGGGGGCATAATCATTTAAAATGGTTGCTTTCGATTTCAACGTAACTGTCTCACTCTTTCTGCTCCTGAGTCTTAAACTTCCTGTTTCAGAGAGAGTCTTCTGTGTTGGTGCTGGAGGGAGTCGACGCCACACAGACAAACATGTCGTTCTTCAGACAGCAGCTGAGAGAGATCGCAGCACACATCCTCAACTGCACAGGTAACTGGTCCTAACGATTACAACATACACTCGATAATAACAGCCCGCTTATGAGCCCCCCCGCACATGACCTGTGTGTGTTGTAGACGAGACGTTCGGGCCACGGCTGCTGCAGATGTGCAACACGGCGCTGTTCCAGTGTTTGGCCCTGAACCTTTTCTGTCTGAGAGGAGACCAGCGCGCTCTGACCGCTGTCATCAACCACCGCATTGTCAGTATTTCAGTGTCTCACACCGTGGCGTTCAGACAGACATGTGTTTGACCTGCGTGTTCAACTGTGTGCGTCCACAGAGGCGCATGTCCAGTGACATCAGCCCCAGTCTGGTCAACTGGATGACCAGCATGATGAGCATGCGGCTGCAGGTGATCCTGGAGAACATCCCTGTGCCCTCAGAGCAGATCCAGCACTACGTGGTCTACACACAGGTCTGTCTCTCTAGTCTCTCTCTCTGGTGTCTCTGGTCTCTCTCTATGGTCTCTCTCACTATCAACAACACTCTTCACGTGGAGCTTCTCTTTCCTTTTACAAGAATTGTTTAATGCAATGAAAATGACAACTTGTTTATTTTTGCTGAAGTCTTTTGTGGCTTTACACCTTAACCAAACTCATATTAAATGCGAAACTGTAAGTACTTATTGGGTTCCCATCACTTCCTTGTACAAACGTTCTTCAGTGTATAAAATCAACTTGTGAGAATGAGAAGCACTTTTCTGGAACCACAGATGCATGTGAAAGAGACCACAGCACACAGTGACGGCGTGTCCTTGGGCCAGACACTCGCTGTGTGTGATGGTGTCGCCGTCTCTGGTTTCGCTCTAAACGTTCATTAATATTCAATGTTTCAGAGGGATCAGCCTTCAAGCACCGAGCCGCCGGAGCAGAGCCAGCCCCAGAGCACCACGGTGAGTCCACACTCTACCAGGACCAGGACTAAACCAGTACCAGGATTAGGACTATGACCAGACTGATCCAGGGCTGTGGACCAGAGCAAGACTGGGATAGGTCTAACCCAGGACAACAGGGACTAGAACCAGGTCTAAACAAACACTACAGGGGCCTAAACAGACAGCTAGGACTACAGGGACTAGAACCAAAATAATATAAAACTTTATGGATCTCACAATGGAGACATTTACTAGGCTCTTTGGTCTCTCTCTGTACCTGTGTTTTTCAACCAGTTTGTCGTGGTGCCTTTGGAAATTACCCAATATCACCTTTTTGGTCAAAAATGGGAAAGGGAAACTATGTGAGACCATTAGAAGGACCTTTTTGCTCTTGTTAGTTTCTATATATATATATATATATATACACTCTACTTTGATGATAATGACGTTATATCGTCAATAAAAAATGCAGTCACAAGAAAATGTTTCTGGCTTGTGTGCACCGCGGTCTTCCCGTAGTCCTCAGTCCGCTGAAGTACTCACGGCTTTCAGACCTGCAACCATCTGCCTTTAAAGAAAACGCTGCTCGTTCAAGGATTTCACTTACTGTGGGTTATTTTTAGAATGTGAGTTAAACTGAGACCACTGTACTCAATTATGGATATATATAGATACAATTTGTAGATAATAATAATAATAATAAGGCATCGGTTATATATAGCCCTTTTTTGGATACTCAAGACGCTTTACATGTCATTATCCATTCACTCCATACACGGACGACTGTATACTGTATCAGATGTTTGCTTTAAAGGGGACACATTCCTGGTGCTGCAATAGTCTTTCATCTGAGCTCTTCATTGTACCGTTGACCCAGTTTGACTCTGTGTGTTTGAGTCCTCAGGCGGGGGACAGTCTGTCTCCAGCCGCTGCCACCACCGCAGAGGAGGCCATGTCTGTGAAGGAAGAGGCTCTGCCCATGGCCCGGGACATGGCAGCCTCCTCACGGGACCAGAGGACGTTACCCAATGAACTGGTGGCGTCCGGAGGGGCTGGTCCTCTGGGGGGCGCTGTGCCGCTAGGAGCAGAAGGAGGACGAGACGAACCGGAGGCCTGGGCCGCTGCCGTGCCCCCGGTGAGGCTGATTTGGAGTGACAGTTACAGGGGAATGAACTGAGACCTGAGTGTTTGATATGAACTGAGACCAAGTGACACTAGACCAACAGGTGGACCAGGTCTGGTTCACATTATACAAGTTAAATTACAAAAGTAAACAGACTTCTTATTATGCATTTTTACTATTCAACGACCCCGAGGCCCAGACCCCGAGGCCCAGACCCCGAGGCCCAGACCCCGAGGCCCAGACCCCGAGGCCCAGACCCCGAGGCCCAGACCCGAGACTGTTGATGTGAAACTAGTTCTACTGTTGCTGGGCTCATAGAGATGAAGTATTTTTGGACTTATATTAAACTTGACTTGATATTGAGATGGATTTCACATGAATCATATAAACAGTGGATTCGTCAGTGTTTGGAGACTCTCTCTGAAGTCTCTTTTCTCCGTCCTTAGGAGTGGGTGCCCATTATCCGCTGTGACATGATGACGCAGAGGAAGATCAAGTCCCAGCCCCCGATGTCCGATGCCTACCTGCAGGGGATGCCAGCCAAGAGGAGGAAGGTAACCGATGCTGCTGCTGCTTCCCACCAATGTACAGTATGTTGTGTATACATACTGAATTAAAACCCTTTAGGTCCCCAAGTTTCTTAATCCAGGACGCTTTCTATACAGCAATTTGTCTATGTATTGATTCACTTCATCCACTATGTCTTGTTAAAGAGCGACTAAACGCCAAATCAACTTTTTTAAATTATAAACTGCATAAATATGTTTATTGTAGTGTTCTCTACATATCCTGGTCATTTTTTTGACATTTTAGTGCAAATTAGATCAAATCTACATTTGAATTTGGTCCTGGCCTCTCCATTGACTCTGTAATACTGTGTGACGTCAGTTGGTTTGTGACTTCAGTCTGTCTGCCCCAGCTGCAAGTTGGAGTATTCTGGCGACATCTAGTGGATTAAAATTAAATTACATGAGTTAATAACCACTACTGGTGAGATAGTTCTGTGGCTTAGGTTCAGGTGTGTAGCTTTACAATTATCTTAGTGTGTAAACAAGGATGGAATGAGACTTTCTGGTCTGTAAACTATTGCTTTAAGCAGCAATGACAACTGTCTGTTTTTTTTTCGTCCGACAAGTGAGCTGTCAATCACAGCCCAGACTACGCCCAGACCAGCCCCCCTTCTTGTCCCCCGGTCCTCCAGGCAACGGCCTTCCAAGAGAAAATTTTCAAATGTTCATGTGGGCTGAGTCAGGCTGGTCACAGGTGTTTGGTCACTCTTTAAGTTCCCGGGCGTCACCTTTTGTCTATTTCACAGAACACTTATTTAAAAAAGCTGATGCTTAAAGTTTTAAAATACTGGTCTCTGGTCCCTGGAGACTATAGAGAGGTCTCTCTCTGGTCTCTCTCGAGCGTATACCCTCAGTGTGACATCAGTCTCCCCTCTCCGCAGACTGGACAGGGCAGCAGTATCCTCTTGTCTCTCTCTGATGCCGTCTCCCAGGCGGCTCGCACCACAGGGGTCCGGCCCCTCACCTCTCCAGAGAGACTGCAGAACGAGCTGGACAACGACGATCTGCGAGAGGCCTACTCTGAACAGGTGTGCACTCTCAAAAGCCTTATTCCACTACACGTTTTTTATCTGGTACCGTATCCTAGCAACCAGCATCAATGGAAATTCCTTTGTAACCATCCAGGACTGGGGCTGTAGATAACTGGGGCTACTGGGGCTGTAGATCCAGGACTGGGGCCGGGGACGACCAGTTCAAAGGTGTAGAGGCCGGATTCAGGGGTCCCATGATCACGCCATGAAACAGACAATGGGACAGTGGGTGAAGAGCAATTAACAGACCACAGCTGAAGCTATGATAGTGCTAAGCTAGCATAATGACAGATAAAGTAGGAGAGAAGAGGAGAGTGCTGTTACCAGACTTCTCCAGCAGGGGTCTCCTTATCCAGCTTCACTTTTGTAAGTCTAACCTACCAAGTCCTATTCTGGAGTTTCCCTGTGTCTCGTCTCAGGTAAAGTCGGATTTGAAGAAGCGGATTCGTGAGGACCCAGACTTCAGCTCTCAGCAATTCCCCAACTCCAACAGAGCCTTCTCCCCGGACTCCTAACGATTGTGTAAATAAAGAGTGTTCTCCGTCTAACGCAGCCACCTCCACACGACCCCCTCAAACCCTCCGCTCTGCTCCACGTCGGAATCGAAGACGGAAAAGTCGGATTTGTCAGAGTTAAAGGAGAAGTAGCCACACGTTTGTGACAGGGCTGTGGCGGTTGTAGTCTACGAGTCCAACGTCCGTTATTCATGGATCTTCACCAGTTTTTATCAGTTTCCTCATTCTCTGGATTGAATGATTCCAAAGTAGTTTTATTTATCCAATAATTTAAAGCTTGGGTACATAGGTTTAAATGAGAAAAGGTCTCTATCCTTGGTCTCTCTGATCTCCAGTCTTGTCTCTGGCCTCTCCCTCTGGTCTCTCTCTGGTCTCTCTTTGGTCTCTCTCTGGTCTCTCTCTGGTCTCTCTCTGGTCTCTCTCTGGTCTCTCTCTGGTCTCTCTCTGGTCTCTCTCTGGTCTCTCTCTGGTCTCTCTCGTCCCTTTCTGGTCCCTCTCTCTGGTCTATTAAATTAGTTTTGATGTCTCTGTTGAAATGACGTTGTTTACAACTGTGTGTTTGCTGTGAGTTTAGTAACACGTCCCTCTGGTGGCAGAAGAGAGAACTACACACGTAGACAGTCTTTTAAACATGTTTTATTGATCATTTCTGCCAAATGCCAAAATAGTAAAAACCAAAATGTAAGACTTTTTGACTGATTTTTAAACATTAAGATCTCTGACTTCGACTCTTTCACAATTACTGCTGCAGCCCTCGTTCGTAAATGTTTGAAAGTGGATTATTGCTTGTAAATGTTTTCTAGTTAAAACTCTCCGGCTTTTAACTCGAGTAGAAGACCGATTTAGTTTATTTTTGTAGCCATCTTCTGCCGAACCATGTGTCCAGTGCCTATTTATTTGACATTTGTCTCCATCTCTGTCTGCGTCTCTTTATCTTTAGTTTTCTCACCATCGCACGAGTGGAGTTCTGAATATTTGCTATATGAATGTACAGTACGCAATAAAATCTTGATACACAACTTTCCCTGTCATTTTTTAGGATCATCAGGTTTTTATGTTTCACAAAATGTTTCCATGGTAAAGATGGATATAGAATATTTCCTGAATCCTCTGTTCCTGCTTAGAATTCTCACAATTACACCTAATTTTGATCATCTTAAATGAGACAAAAAAAAACCCTTGGATTCCTATTTTTAATTTTAAAAAAGTTTTTTAAAGGGTAGAAAATAGATGGATGGAGATTTTTTAAATCTGCTCTTATGAATATTTTGAAGTTTGATTTTAAAACCATAATTATGTTAAAAGGTCTCTGGTTAAGTCTCCAACTATTTTTTTCCCCCCAATTGAAATGGAGACCATAGAGCCGAGACTACATAGGAGGGAAAGGGATTTGTACTTTTTTGGAGGAAAAATTATATATATTTTATCAAAGAGATGTTTTATATTTTCTGTTTCAGTTGAAAATATGTCAAACTCAGGGACGTGCGGTGAGGTTTGTGATTGGGGAGGCACTGACTTTAAAAGTCAGATTTACAATCATTATTCAAATAAAATAGCATTTAATCACCAATGCAATGACATCCACAAACTTTATATACTGTAAAGATAAGAGAACCAGCTTCTTTTAATAATCTCACAACAAATCTAGCTGCTGACTCTGCTCCGCATCAAACAACATCTTTAAGAAGCGCAGGTGCGAGAGACGCGAGGAGAGAGAGACGCGAGGAGAGAGGAGCAGAGAGAGACAGAGAGGAGCAGAGAGACGGAGACGCGAGGAGAGAGAGACGCGAGGAGAGAGGAGCAGAGAGAGACAGAGAGGAGCAGAGAGACGGAGACGCGAGGAGCAGAGAGAGACAGAGACGCGAGGAGAGAGAGACGGAGAGGAGCAGAGAGAGACAGAGAGGAGCAGAGAGACGGAGACGCGAGGAGCAGAGAGAGACGGAGACGCGAGGAGAGAGAGACGGAGAGGAGCAGAGAGAGACAGAGAGGAGCAGAGAGACGGAGACGCGAGGAGAGAGAGACGCGAGGAGAGAGGAGCAGAGAGACGGAGACGCGAGGAGCAGAGAGAGACGGAGACGCGAGGAGAGAGAGACGGAGAGGAGCAGAGAGAGACAGAGAGGAGCAGAGAGAGACGGAGAGGAGCAGAGAGAGACAGAGAGAGCAGAGAGACGGAGACGCGAGGAGCAGAGAGAGACGGAGACGCGAGGAGAGAGACGAGAGGAGCAGAGAGAGACAGAGAGGAGCAGAGAGAGACGGAGAGGAGCAGAGAGAGAGAAGAGAGGAGCAGAGAGACGGAGACGCGAGGAGAGAGAGACGCGAGGAGCAGAGAGACGGAGACGCGAGGAGCAGAGAGAGACGGAGACGCGAGGAGAGAGAGACGGAGAGGAGCAGAGAGAGACAGAGAGGAGCAGAGAGACGGAGACGCGAGGAGCAGAGAGAGACGGAGACGCGAGGAGAGAGAGACGCGAGGAGAGAGGAGCAGAGAGAGACGGAGAGGAGCAGAGAGAGACAGAGAGGAGCAGAGAGAGACGGAGAGGAGCAGAGAGAGACAGAGAGGAGCAGAGAGACGGAGACGCGAGGAGAGAGAGACGGAGAGGAGCAGAGAGACGGAGACGCGAGGAGAGAGAGACGCGAGGAGAGAGAGAGACGCGAGGAGAGAGGAGCAGAGAGACGGAGACGCGAGGAGCAGAGAGAGACGGAGACGCGAGGAGAGAGAGACGGAGAGGAGCAGAGAGAGACAGAGAGGAGCAGAGAGACGGAGACGCGAGGAGAGAGAGACGGAGAGGAGCAGAGAGAGACAGAGAGGAGCAGAGAGAGACGGAGAGGAGCAGAGAGAGACGGAGAGGAGCAGAGAGAGACAGAGAGGAGCAGAGAGACGGAGACGCGAGGAGCAGAGAGACGGAGACGCGAGGAGCAGAGAGAGACGGAGACGCGAGGAGAGAGAGACGGAGAGGAGCAGAGAGACGGAGACGCGAGGAGCATAAACAATAATTTAAACAAGTTGCAGAACTCTTGAGCAGTGTTTTTCGGAAAAGCACTACTTTGCCGGTATCTGTCAATGTTCAACATAAAACACAGATTAACAAACTCCTCCCCCGCAGCCGGACTAACCTCGTAAGTCCAGTGGTGGTCTCCCAGTCTATATTAATTCTTTTTGTTTGAAAGTCCAATTGAGAAAAAAAATCTTCATTCAAATCATCCATTTTCCAGCAAAAGAAATAGCATTTTGGGCTGATTGTTTGTTAGCAACTCTGGTATGAACTTTATGCTCACTATCACCCCTAGCGGTGAGGCACAGATACCGCCTGCCTCACGCCAAGCTTTTTCCTTGTGTGTTCATCTACGATCAAAAGACTTAAACTAAATATAAATTGTACACACATACGTGCAATACACTACTAAACACTAAGAGGAGTTTAAAAAATGTTTTTAAAGCAGGATATTTGAAACAAACGGTGATATATCAACTGCACGAGCTGAGTGCACTCAGACACACACACACACACTGTGAGGGAGCGGTCTGAGGTGAGGCACGCAGGAGCGCTGCCTCACCTCGTCTCTTTGAATAGGAATAACGGGATTTCGGCGATTTTGACTTCAGAAATGATCAAAACTGATGGGAACCGTGCCGAATATACATTAAAAGCATAGGACAGTAGATATAAATTATATATTTAAACTAAAATAATTATTAGTTTCCAATAATGGCAGGTGAGGCTCTGCCTCCCCTGCCTCCCCTGACTGCACGTCCCTGGTCAAACTGTCTGTGGGTCTGTTCTGACAACAGCTGTGTGAGTGCTAGATTATTTATAAAGTCATCAATGCCAAGATTATGTAGAAAACCATAAAACGCCCTTTGAGCATTTTGAGCCTGTAAAAGCGATGTGAAAAACTAAACCTGAAAAGCACAAATATGTGAAGAGAAAGAGGACTAATAGTATAACATTTAACCCTTTTAACACTGCGGAGTAATTCTGACTCATCACTGCCCTCCTCTGGTGAACTAAGGCTTTGCACAACACATCACCCTCAAGACCAAACACAGGTCATGACCCTAGACTCTAAATATAAACGGAAGTGACGCCTATTTCCTCGGTTGAAGTGTGTGTTCCACAAACATGGCTGTGGGCAGCCCCTCCTGCAGGAAAACCTGAAAAAACGCATTTACGCATGTGTTAGCCGCCAGCCCCCCATTCATTTGACGAGTGCATTCAAAAGTCCACAGCAGCTAAACTAACTCCCCTCAGTGGTGACACTTATCTGGAACGTAGCGTTGACCCGCCCACACTGGTCATGACTGCGGCCTCAGGACAAACAAGAGTGGACTGCCCGAGTGTGACGTCACCAAAGCCTTAATGCGAAAGAAGCTGGAGCCAAAGATGGCGGCGATAGCATTGCGTCGTATCAGGGGCAGACCATCCATGGGGCAGATATGTTTCTAAGATGGTTGCTGGTTGGAACTTCCCCCTCAAACGAAGGTATCCGATTGGTCAAACCATATATGGCTCATGTGGAGATTTACAAAGACAATATCAAAATGTAAACACCCGGAGCAAAACTCCGCCTCGAGCTCTTCCTTATTGCACTTGAGCTAGCAGGTCATTTGGCCGTCTTCAGTCACTGGGACAAACAGATCCTGGTCTGGATCCGACCTGAGTCACACATCTACAATAAGGATTAACAGCGTTCGGTAGGATTGTCTGTTTGCTAAGGACCGTTTGTTGAAGGCGATCCCTGCTCTTCAAATATTGACTTTCTGGGGACTGTTGCACCGTGTGCGGAAATTTAAACCAGCTTTATTACATTTACACTGCACAAACATCTAGGTTACAACTTAGAACGAGAACCTGAAGTATTTAAACTTGTATTGTGATATTAGTGTGTATAAAGTCAGTTACGAGGACTGGACCAACAACACGTCAAAAATTTCTCAAATTTGGCAAAATGTTTAATTTGAGCATATTCTGACGGCCTTAAAACAAGCCGTAAGTTTGGCCAATATACAAGCTAAAGATCTTGTTTTAAAAAGATACAAGTTCTCCCTTAGAATGAGAAAATAAAGTAACAGTTCTTGAAATAAGACCAGGCTTTGCCCCGTTGGTAAATTTTAAGACAGAATGTGTTCAAATTAAGAAAAAGCACTAGATTCAAGCAGTTTTCACCTACTTTCATTTTTTTTGCCATGTTTTCACTGAAGAACTTGAGATGAGCTGTAAAAAAGACAATTACTAAAAATTATGTCCATGTACGAAGTACATCTGTGACATATGAACAAACTCTGACTCTGAGGAGCACAGGGACTGGCCTCCAGCTGGTGCCCAGAGCCAGGGCTAAACATGGGGAAGCAGCGTTTCAGATTTATGCATCCGTCTTCCTGAAAATGTGAGACAGGCTGAAAACAGTTCAGTTTCGCGGCAACAACTGAAGGATTGTATATCCACTGTTTTAAATGTAATGTGATTATTTATAAATGTGTTCTTTCTGACAACAAACAAATCTACAAACAGTCTGAAATTCAGTTTATTATAATCTCATTGATGTCACATGTTGTAGTCAGCAGTCTCTATCACAGCAGCAGTTTGGATGTTTTTTGGAGGATCATTCAGGGCCGTGTCAGAGGAAGGCTCCTGGGGGCTTCCGGGGGTCCTTGAGGTTCCTGAGTCTGTGAGCCAGCCACACGCCCACAATCTGCACAAGGAACAGCAGCGGTCAGAACCCACCTGTCCCCTGGTTTATGGCAGGGGTGATGTGTTCGAAAAATAACCCACAATAAGTGAAAGGCTCTAAGCAGCTGTAAAACCCCTCACACTCACTTTGTAAACTTTTCTAACCACCTGAACTCACGACTGCGGAAGTGACAGCGAGAGAGATATCGATCCTGTTGGGTGTAGGTCTGAGTGCTGCTGCAGCTGTCAAAAGCTGTGTATACACTGTAAAATACAGCTGCAGCGGACACTGCACTGAGGGGCAGGAGCAGGACTGAGGGGTATGGGAAGACCAGAGAGGGAGAAACTACAGAGTGAGAGAGACCGCAGAGAGAGAGCGAGAGAGAGAGCGAGAGATAGGGAGACCACAGAGAGAGACCACAGAGAGAGAGCGAGAGATAGAGAGACCACAGAGAGACCACAGAGAGAGAGCGAGAGAGAGAGAGAGCGAGAGAGCGAGAGAGAGAGCGAGAGAGAGAGCGAGAGAGAGAGCGAGAGATAGGGAGACCACAGAGAGAGAGCGAGAGATAGAGAGACCACAGAGAGACCACAGAGAGAGAGCGAGAGAGAGAGCGAGAGAGAGAGCGAGAGAGCGAGAGAGAGAGCGAGAGAGAGAGCGAGAGATAGGGAGACCACAGAGAGACCACAGAGAGAGACCACAGAGAGAGACCACAGAGAGAGACCACAGAGAGACCACAGAGAGACCACAGAGAGAGAGCGAGAGAGAGAGCGAGAGATAGAGAGACCACAGAGAGAGACCACAGAGAGAGAGAGCGAGAGATAGAGACCACAGAGAGACCACAGAGAGAGACCACAGAGAGAGCGAGAGATAGAGAGACCACAGAGAGAGAGCGAGAGATAGAGAGACCACAGAGAGAGAGCGAGAGATAGAGAGACCACAGAGAGACCACAGAGAGAGATAGAGAGACCACAGAGAGAGAGCGAGAGATAGAGAGACCACAGAGAGAGAGCGAGAGATAGAGAGACCACAGAGAGAGAGCGAGAGATAGAGAGACCACAGAGAGACCACAGAGAGAGACCACAGAGAGAGAGCGAGAGATAGAGAGACCACAGAGAGAGACCACAGAGAGATAGAGAGACCACAAAGAGCGAGCGAGAGAGAGAGACCACAGAGAGACCAGAGAGCGAGAGATAGAGACCACAGAGAGAGACCACAGAGAGAGAGCGAGAGATAGAGAGACCACAGAGAGACCACAGAGAGAGAGCGAGAGAGAGAGCGACCACAGAGAGAGCGATAGAGGCCGCAGAGAGAGAGAGAGAGGCCTCTGAACTAATCTCTGGTGCACACAAGCCACTGAAGTTTTCTTATGACTTTAATTAAAGGGTAAATTAAATCTTTTACTACAGGTTATTTGATGTTGTTGGAGTAAACACACTGTAAAAAAAGCACACACTGTTCTCAAACAACCGTCGTCATGGATACAGAGGACACAGAGGATGGAGACTGGAGCAGGAGGCAGATCTCACCTCTGTGAAGCTGAAGAACAGTCCCACTCCTCCCACAAACCTCAGCACGTCCCCCGTGTATCGGGTGATGATGGCGGCGCAGGGCTGGCAGAGCGCCCCCTGTGCACACTTCTGGAACAACACCACACATTTATTCACAGAGCAGAATTTCGGTGCACGAGGCTGCAATACATCAATTTACAACTATTTCATTTCCAAAACAAGATTAAGGTTAACCATGTCACAGCCCTGTTCCTCATCAGTCACAGACCTGGAGTCGTTTTTAGATCAGAAACCTCTGGCACAAATGTGTAACTCTGACCCTTCTCTCTAAAAGTCTCAGTCCTGTAACAGTATGAAGTCATTGTACCACTATGACATCACACCTAGAGCGGTTTTCTGCCTTTTAAAAACAAAAGTATCGCAATATATCATAAATTAGTCTTGATGAAGTTACGTTCTTTACAGTCACATGTCTGAGTTTCACCATCTATTTTCTACAGAAGATTCTAAAACATGAAATGATAAATGGGTAGTTTAATGGGTTTTTTGCTCCTTCACCTCACTCCTTCTCTCACTCCCCCATCTTACTCACTCCCTCCCTTCCTCTCCCTCTCTCCCCCTTCACTCACCGCAGTGCAGCTGGTGTTCTGCACCTGGTTAAAGCCGCAGCAGTTCAGACTCCGCTCCACGTCCCTCTGTGTGGCCTCAGAGCGGTTCCAGCCCACCTCCAGCAACAGGTCCTGAGACAGAGAAAGACAAACACACACAGAGAAAGAGACAGAGAAAGATAGACACAGACAAAAAGAGACAGACACACACAGAGAGAGACAGACACACACAGAGAGGGACGGACACACACAGAGAAAGACGGACACAGACAAAGAGACAGACACACACAGAGAAAGACAGAGAAAGACGGACACAGACAAAGAGACAGACACACACAGAGAAAGACAGACACAGACAAAGAGACACACAGAGGGACGGACACACACAGAGAAAGACGGACACAGACAGACACACACAGAGAAAGACAGACAAAGAGACAGACACACACAGAGAAAGACAGACACACACAGAGAAAGACAGACACAGACAGAGAAAGACAGACACACACAGAGAAAGACAGACACACACAGAGAAAGACAGACACAGACAAAGAGACACACAGAGGGACGGACACACACAGAGAAAGACGGACACAGACAGACACACACAAAGAAAGACAGACAAAGAGACAGACACACACAGAGAAAGACAGACACACACAGAGAAAGACAGACACAGACAGAGAAAGACAGACACACACAGAGAAAGACAGACACAGACAAAGAGACACACAGAGGGACGGACACACACAGAGAAAGACGGACACAGACAGAGAAAGACAGACAAAGAGACAGACACACACAGAGAAAGACAGACACACACAGAGAAAGACAGACACAGACAGAGAAAGACAGACACACACAGAGAAAGACAGACACAGACAAAGAGACAGACACAGACAGAGAAAGACAGACACACACAGAGAAAGACAGACACAGACAAAGAGACAGACACACAGAGAAAGACAGACACACACAGAGAAAGAGACACACATTGAGGGAAACAGAGTGAGACAGTGTCACACAGACAGAAACAGACAATGGGTTAGGGTTAGAGACAATGGGCCTCATTCACGAACGGTTCTTAGGAACAGATTTGTACGTAAATCCTACTTACGCGGTTTTTACGAAGAAAGTGGCATTCACGAATATTTCTCGTAACCAGAATTTCTCTTGGGCAAGTACAAATCCTACGAGTCCTCAGGAGCACTCGTACGCATTCAGTGCCGACATGTTCACACGCCGGGGTTGTCCTCTTTGGTGAAGTTGAATAAAAATACAACATTCCAGTGATATGTCCGTCATATCGATGTATGTATTTATTTATTTGTAGTAATCTTTATTTATATACCGCCTTTTTCACTGCAGATCTGGCCTACTTTTTAATTCATTTTGAAATGAAATGTGCCAACGCTTTATCAAATACATTGGAAATCTTGCCGTGTATTAGTGACCCCTTCCTATTTATAGGGGGCATTACTTTATCCACGGGCCACAGAACAACGGCATATATACTGCTGCTGCAGGAGGTTACTGGGTCCGCGCTGAGTCTCTGCGCTGGTCTCTCCTATGGATCTATACGGGTCTGCACTGGTCTCTCCCATGGATACGGGTCTGCACTGGTCTCTCCCATGGATCTATACGGGTCTGCACTGGTCTCTCCCATGGATCTATACGGGTCTGCACTGGTCTCTCCCATGGATCTATACTGGTCTGCACTGGTCTCTCCCATGGATCTATACGGGTCTGCACTGGTCTCTCCTATGGATCTATACGGGTCTGCACTGGTCTCTCCTATGGATCTATACGGGTCTGCACTGGTCTCTCCTATGGATCTATACTGGTCTGCACTGGTCTCTCCCATATACGGGTCTGCACTGGTCTCTCCCATGGATCTATACTGGTCTGCACTGGTCTCTCCCATGGATCTATACGGGTCTGCACTGGTCTCTCCCATGGATCTATACGGGTCTGCACTGGTCTCTCCTATGGATCTATACGGGTCTGCACTGGTCTCTCCTATGGATCTATACGGGTCTGCACTGGTCTCTCCCATATACGGGTCTGCACTGGTCTCTCCCATGGATCTATACTGGTCTGCACTGGTCTCTCCTATGGATCTATACGGGTCTGCACTGGTGTCTCCCATATACGGGTCTGCACTGGTCTCTCCCATGGATCTATACGGGTCTGCACTGGTCTCTCCCATATACGGGTCTGCACTAGTCTCTCCCATGGATCTATACTGGTCTGCACTGGTCTCTCCATACGGGTCCGCGCTGGTCTCTCAAGTCTGGTCTATGCGGTCTCTCTTCGGTCCGCGCTGGTCTCTGCGCACCGGTCTCTCCAGTCAGGTCACTCCAGTCTATGCGGTCTCTCCTATAGGTCCGCGCTGGTTTCTGTGTGCTGGTCACTCCAGTCTATGCGGTCTCTCCTATAGGTCCGCGCTGGTTTCTGTGTGCTGGTCACTCCAGTCTCTCCTCGGGTCTGCATTGGTCTCAGCGCTGGTCCGCGCTGGATCTCCTCCCAGGGTCCAAAATATTTTGAGATTCATCTTTAAAATAATACATAATATATTTTTAAATTAAGCTCATAACATTGAGATTAATCTCATCATATTCTTAGATTAATCTCATAATTTTGCTAGTTCGACTTATTATCATAATATTTCGACTTTTAAGTCAACATTTTATAACTTTATTCTCAGTCTGGTAAAAGAAGAAAAAAGGGTGACTCTTTTGCTCCGTGTAAAGGCCTGTTGCTGTTTCCTCTGCTGTCTGCACACGGCCCTGCAGTCCCTTATATGGGCATTAGTGGGCGGTTACTTATGCTAAGTACCTATGCTAATGAAGCACCTGGCACGCGCGCTGTACTTACGAGGAAATGGGATTCATCAATCTGAGAGAACAGCTGCGAACAATTCAGCGGCTTACGAGTGCGTTGATGAATCCCACGTGGGGACTTCTTAGAAATCTACTTAAGGACAACTTGAGAAGAAAGTTGAGTAGTTTCTTACGAAGTTATTCGTGAATGAGGCCCAATGTAAACAAACACATTTTTTGGTCAGTGAATGAAAGGATGTAACGTGTGTGTATGTGTATATGTGTGTATGTGTGTATGTGTGTATGTGTGTATGTGTGTAGTTTGTCCTCTGATCAGTACGCTGCAGAGGCCGCACCGGTCCCACTCACCTGCTGCTCCTTGTTGACTGTGAGACAGGCACAGGACACAGAAAACTGCATGACGAACACCAGGAACAACACGACCATGTACTGAGCCTCAGTCAAGGAAACAGAAGGAGGCCCCTGTCCCATTCCGTCACATGTGAAAGTGAACTCCTCGAGCTCAGTAACTGTTTATGTCACGCTCATCATTTTGGGCTTAAGATAAACCTTTAATCATTCAATGTCATTGTTGCACACTTTCGAATGCGCTGGAAACTGCTGCAAGTCCCAGAAGCTTTGCAACAGTTGTTGTTTTGTGCTTTACCATTTTGATGGCTCTTTTCTACCCAAGATGTTGCTGCAGTACAGTGTTCATGGTTTTACACTGGTCCAGACCAGAGCAGAGAGGGTTCATGGTTTTACACTGGTCCAGACCAGAGCAGAGAGGATTCATGGTTTTACACTGGTCCAGACCAGAGCAGAGAGGATTCATGGTTTTACACTGGTCCAGACCAGAGCAGAGAGGATTCATGGTTTTACACTGGTCCAGACCAGAGCAGAGAGGATTCATGGTTTTACACTGGTCCAGACCAGAGCAGAGAGGGTTCATGGGCCGAACAAAGCGGATCAGGCGGAAATCCACTGGAGGAATGCTAACTTTTTGACAAACTAATAAAGCATTCAGCATTTTACTTTGAACCAAGCGGTTACTCCACCTCTGCTGCTGTGACATGAAGGGCTGTTACTTATTAATACTAATGTTAGCTTTTAAGAATGAACTATTTTATTTTTTCTGCTACGGGGATCAATAAAGTATCCATCTATCTATAACAGCAGAATAAAAGGAGAAAGCAAACATCAAACAGGATCTATTATTCAAGAGAAAATAAAAAATCAAATATTTATTTAATAAAATAATAAGATAATAAAACTGGTATATTGCACTTCAAGGTTCAAGAATGTCACTGGTGATGTATCCACTGTAGTTTGCAGCATCATGAGGTTAAAAGTCTGGAGCACTCTGTGATTCTAGAGTTTATATTGTGATATTGTCTTTATAAATCCAGATATGAGCCATATCAGGACTGACCAATCAGATGCCTTCATTTCAGGGAACCTCCAGCACCAGTCTTAGCAACACGTCTGCCTCCGTTACTGCGCAAAGCTTCACAACAAATGTCCATATAAGGAATTTTTCTCCAACTAGGTTATGTTCAAATCAGCCTCTCCTTCATTAATGCTAACTCTATGGTGATGTCACACTCTGTCTATGTCTGAAGTGAGAGTTCTGTTCCGAGTGAAGGATACGAAGAAGAGCAGGATCTGGTTCTGCCGCAGCGCCCCGCAGAGCCCCATGACGGCCACCAGGAACAGGAAGCAGCCCACGGCCAGCGCCACGGCCACAACACGCACACTGGACACCAGGGCGAGCAGGCGCGCCCAACTGGTCACACCTACCAGGAGCACACTCACCAGCTGCACACACCAGAAGAGAGGGTTAACAGTCATAGGCCAGAACATAACAGGAGAGAGACCAGAAAGAGACAAGAGAGAGAGAGACAAGAGAGAGAGAGACCAGGGTGAGAGAGACCAGAGACGAGAGAGACCAGAGACGAGAGAGACCAGAGACGAGAGAGACCAGAGACGAGAGAGACCAGAGACGAGAGAGACCAGGGTCAGAGAGAGACCAGAGACGAGAGAGACCAGAGACAGAGAGACCAGGGTCAGAGAGACCAGGGTCAGAGAGACCAGGCTGAGAGAGAGACCAGGCTGAGAGAGAGACCAGGCTGAGAGAGAGACCAGGCTGAGAGAGAGACCAGGCTGAGAGAGAGACCAGGCTGAGAGAGAGAGAGCAGGCTGAGAGAGAGACCAGGCTGAGAGAGAGACCAGGCTGAGAGAGAGACCAGGCTGAGAGAGAGACCAGGCTGAGAGAGAGACCAGGCTGAGAGAGAGACCAGGCTGAGAGAGAGACCAGGCTGAGAGAGAGACCAGGCTGAGAGAGAGACCAGGCTGAGAGAGAGACCAGGCTGAGAGAGAGACCAGGCTGAGAGAGAGACCAGGCTGAGAGAGAGAGACCAGGCTGAGAGAGAGACCAGGCTGAGAGAGAGACCAGGCTGAGAGAGAGACCAGGCTGAGAGAGAGACCAGGCTGAGAGAGAGACCAGGCTGAGAGAGAGACCAGGCTGAGAGAGAGACCAGGCTGAGAGAGAGACCAGGCTGAGAGAGAGACCAGGCTGAGAGAGAGACCAGGCTGAGAGAGAGACCAGGCTGAGAGAGAGACCAGGCTGAGAGAGAGACCAGGCTGAGAGAGAGACCAGGCTGAGAGAGAGACCAGGCTGAGAGAGAGACCAGGCTGAGAGAGAGACCAGGCTGAGAGAGAGACCAGGCTGAGAGAGAGACCAGGCTGAGAGAGAGACCAGGCTGAGAGAGAGACCAGGCTGAGAGAGAGACCAGGCTGAGAGAGAGACCAGGCTGAGAGAGAGACCAGGCTGAGAGAGAGACCAGGCTGAGAGAGAGACCAGGCTGAGAGAGAGACCAGGCTGAGAGAGAGACCAGGCTGAGAGAGAGACCAGGCTGAGAGAGAGACCAGGCTGAGAGAGAGACCAGGCTGAGAGAGAGACCAGGCTGAGAGAGAGACCAGGCTGAGAGAGAGACCAGGCTGAGAGAGAGACCAGGCTGAGAGAGAGACCAGGCTGAGAGAGAGACCAGGCTGAGAGAGAGACCAGGCTGAGAGAGAGACCAGGCTGAGAGAGAGACCAGGCTGAGAGAGAGACCAGGCTGAGAGACACCAGGCTGAGAGAGACACCAGGCTGAGAGAGACACCAGGCTGAGAGAGACACCAGGCTGAGAGAGACACCAGGCTGAGAGAGAGACCAGGCTGAGAGAGACCAGGCTGAGAGAGACCAGGCTGAGAGAGACCAGGCTGAGAGAGACCAGGCTGAGAGAGACCAGGCTGAGAGAGACCAGGCTGAGAGAGACCAGGCTGAGAGAGACCAGGCTGAGAGAGACCAGGCTGAGAGAGACACCAGGCTGAGAGAGACACCAGGCTGAGAGAGACCAGAGACGAGAGACACCAGGCTGAGAGAGACCAGAGAGACACCAGGGTCAGAGAGACACCAGGGTCAGAGAGACACCAGGGTCAGAGAGACACCAGGGTCAGAGAGACACCAGGGTCAGAGAGACACCAGGGTCAGAGAGACACCAGGGTCAGAGAGACACCAGGCTGAGAGAGACCAGGCTGAGAGAGACCAGGCTGAGAGAGACCAGGCTGAGAGAGACCAGGCTGAGAGAGACCAGGCTGAGAGAGACCAGGCTGAGAGAGACCAGGCTGAGAGAGACCAGGCTGAGAGAGACCAGGCTGAGAGAGACCAGGCTGAGAGAGACCAGGCTGAGAGAGACCAGGCTGAGAGAGACCAGGCTGAGAGAGACCAGGCTGAGAGAGACCAGGCTGAGAGAGACCAGGCTGAGAGAGACCAGGCTGAGAGAGACCAGGCTGAGAGAGACCAGGCTGAGAGAGACCAGGCTGAGAGAGACCAGGCTGAGAGAGAGACCAGGCTGAGAGAGAGAGACCAGGCTGAGAGAGAGACCAGGCTGAGAGAGAGACCAGGCTGAGAGAGACACCAGGCTGAGAGAGACCAGGCTGAGAGAGAGACCAGGCTGAGAGAGACACCAGGCTGAGAGAGACACCAGGCTGAGAGATACACCAGGCTGAGAGAGAGACCAGGCTGAGAGACACCCAGGCTGAGAGACACCAGGCTGAGAGAGACACCAGGCTGAGAGAGAGACCAGGCTGAGAGAGACCAGGCTGAGAGACACCAGGCTGAGAGAGACACCAGGCTGAGAGAGAGACCAGGCTGAGAGACACCAGGCTGAGAGACACCAGGCTGAGAGACACCAGGCTGAGAGAGACACCAGGCTGAGAGAGAGACCAGGCTGAGAGAGAGACCAGGCTGAGAGAGAGACCAGGCTGAGAGAGAGACCAGGCTGAGAGAGAGACCAGGCTGAGAGAGAGACCAGGCTGAGAGAGACCAGGCTGAGAGAGACCAGGCTGAGAGAGACCAGGCTGAGAGAGACCAGGCTGAGAGAGACCAGGCTGAGAGAGACCAGAGTGAGAGAGACCAGAGTGAGAGAGAGAGAGAAGAGTGAGACCAAGGAGAGAGACCAGAGAGACCATGAGAATAATACGACCAAAGCCCTCCTAAGACCTGAGGACCCTCTCGTTTTCTTTCTTAATCCATTCAAAGCCTTGTCCACCAAGAGAAGCATTTTAAAGTCTCTTCGATAGGACTGGAGCCAGCGGAGACTAAGATTGTTAAAGTAGTGCACACGAACACAGGACAGAGGGCCACAGTCTGGACCGGTCTGCTCTGGACCGGTCTGCTCTGGACCGGTCTGCTCTGGACCGGTCTGCTCTGGACCGGTCTGCTCTGGACCGGTCTGCTCTGAGTGTTACTGTGCACATTTGCTCAGGAAAGCCTTTTCATCATAAACTTTTAAAATTAATCAAATTGTGACTTTAGTCCATTCACTTCCCAGGAGCATTACCCGCTGTAGACATCACTGTGCAGAAGTTTATGCAAAACCAACATGACAAACGGATGCGGCCTGTGTTCACTCACCACATAGAGCACGTTGAGGGCACTGAGGCTGTTCTTAGTGCAGGAGAATCCACAGAACATGCTGCTGGGCTGGAAGGGCTAATGCTAATGCTAATACTGATGCTAATGCTACTGCTACACTTAGTAACTTACTGCTGCTTCAACACCTGCTACTGCCACAGCTGCTTCAACACCTGTGAATGCAACTACTTCTGCAACACACCACGGAGCACACCTGTGGGGGCGGGGCTACCTGGCTACCTGTAGGGGCGGGGCTACCTGTGGGGGCGGGGCTAGCATTGAGCTGTGATTGGTCTGCCGTGGTGGCCTTTTAAAAATGAATGTACATGAGGAAAATAAGGACAAAATACAGAGATGCCGTCAACTTTTTGAACAAACAAATAAAAACAAAATAAAAAAATAAGAACACACAGGGTCAGATCTATCGCACTGTTTAGAAGCTTTTAAGATTTTAATGTTTTAATGTTTTTTATATTTCTTGTTATCTTAATGTTTGTTTACAATCATATTTTTAGATCGTATTTTTTATGTTTGTGTAGATTTTAATGTTGATTATGATTTATGCCTGATGTGATATGGGTTGTGAGGCGCTTTGTGTTGCCTTGTGTAGGAATGCTCTACGAATAAAAGTTGATCGAAAGCTTTGATATCGTGAATCCTTCAAAGGGACATATTTCTCAAGTCCTTATTCTTGTTTGTAAATAATAAAGGAAAGTTAACTCTGAATAAGTGTTTTTTGAACCATATGAAATACACTACTATAATATTATTGAAGTACTAAGTGTGTTTTGTTCTGCGGGTTCAAATCTTACAAAATGGCCTGCTGCTGTAATGTGTGTGTGTGTCCTCAGAAAGCAGAGGACTCACATTTAGTCTCTCACTTATAGCATCTTCTCTTGTCTCTTTGAGGGCTTATAATCAGAGTAGGTACTGTATAAAACTATAAAAAAGACAATTAAATCATCATTGTTTTAAGTTTGGGTGGAAATTATTTTATTAGAAAGTACAACAAAGAAGTGAATGATCAACAAATGACCTGTTTCACACTAATACAACTTTATCGCTTCAATAACACACTCCAGACTCTGATGACATGTGAAGAGAGGAGCGAGTCCCTGAGGAAAGAACTAAAGAAAACACTGTTATTATACATTAGTGTTTAGTAAATATACTTAAGGCACCATAGTGACACAGCCGACGTGTCCGGTGTCGAGTATCTGCAAATATCTCTCTGCACTCAGCCTTAAAACAGGTTTATTATGAGACTGCAGAGAGATTAGCCCTCTCCAGGCTTGCGTAGCAGATTTGCAACACCTTAATTGTTTATATCCTAACTTCTCCACATCCATATTTTTGACCCTTTTTTACTCAGAAGTACCACCGCTGGACTTTGTTGAGCTTTAGCAACACACAGTTGTCCACCTGCTCACCAGGGGGCGCAGCTGTCTCACTTCCAAAATGTCAGTCGCCATGTTTCACCAAAACCGATTTTATAGGCATCAATTTGAAGTCAGTATCAGTACCAACCTCTAATAATTTGAAACCTAAGCAGCATAAAATGAAAGATGAATGTACGCTGATACAGTACATGCCAATAGCTTTTCTCACCTCTGGGATTTTCCCCAGGGCCAACCATGTGGCTGGACAGATACCAATGGATGCTACGATTTATGAACTAGTTAGTTATACTAGAAGTATTTGCCTATCCCCAGTGTTTACATATTGCTTTGAGAGTCATTGAGATTAAATCATATGAAAGATTAAATAATTGGGTGAATAAAATGGTCTTTACTTGTGCAGGCGTCTTTGGACTGTCCAAAGGGCGGCACGGTTTCTGAGTGGATAGCACTCTCGCCTCTCAGCAAGAAGGTCCTGGGTTCGAATCCCGAGGACCAGGGCCTTTCTGAGTGGAGTTTGTATGTTCTCCCAATGTTTCCCCTACCACTAAAAACATGTCCAATAGTTCTGGCATGTGCCTCCTGTACTGGCCCCGCTCCCATCTCTGTGTGGAGTGAGAGACAAATGCCCAAAAATAACAAATGTAAACCGCTTTGTGACTCTGGTCTGTGAAAGGCGCTATATAAATAAAGATTACTTACTTACTATGACTCTGGAGTATGGACTTGGTGTTGCTGGTGCAATTACAAGGGTTTTTTTGACAATTGGTTCACTTCCCTTGAACTTATTTGAAAGTTCACAGCAAGAAGGTCCTGGGTTCGATACCTCCTGTGGAGAGTTTGCATGTTTTTCCCGTGTATATTTAGGTTTCCTCCGGGTGCGCCGGTTTCCCCTACCACTAAAGAAAAACATGTATCAGAAGTGAGGGTTGACTCATGACAGCAGGAAAAGAGAACGACTGTCTTGTAATATGCTCCAGAACCCCATCAAGTTCCCCCTCCTCAACTTCAAAGGATCATTGCGCCATAAGTGGATGGGAAAATGATCGAATTGACCTAGTCTAATAACAGTTAGAAAATGATCGAATTGACCTAGTCTAATAACAGTTACAAAATGATCGAATGGATCTACTCGAATATACGATGCAGACAATGGCTGAGCGCAAACAGCCTGCCTAAGTGCAAAGTATAGACTTTACAAAGGACTACAACTGTTTCATGGAGAACCACACAAAGTCTTAGGCAAAAGGATAAAAAAATAGATCTAATTTTAATGTTCTGCTTATCTATACCAAGTTGTTACAATGTGCAGAATAAAAAACAACAAAATAGTTTTGTCTTGTCTTAGACATAGTCTTCTATGGAAATGTACCACAGCGGGCCAATGTTGCAAATCTGAAACATCCCAGAATGCATCGGTTGTATATAACTCATATGATTATTTTCCCCAAAAATCAGATTTTTTTCTCCTGGAGAGGGTTAAGAGATACTTTTGGAATTCACAATTCCAGTGTTGCATCACCAGTTAAAGAACTGTAGGAACGAGGAGCACACAGCACGAGATAAATGAACGATAACTCTATACTAAATAGATTAAAATAAAATAATGAACTTTAGCCATAGACTGTATTTATTAACGGACGTAGTCACGCCTATCTCCGCCGTTCTAACTAATGGGCCAAAAATTGAGCTTTCATGGAGTGATTCAAAACGGCCGCGGGGGCTGGAAAATTGTGAAAAAACGCATCTGCGCATGCGTCAGCCGGAGAGAGCTCCATTCATTTAAACGAGAGACTTCTAAAATTCACAGCAAGTAAACTAGAGTGGTCCAAAAAAATGCACCCCCCTCAGCATTGACACACATGTGGAACGGAGCTTTGGGCCAAGAGCCAACTTTTGGACCATCCTGTAAAGACGTTTTCGAGAGATAAGAAGATGCTATATGTTAGCATTGGCTAATTCTACTTCTGGGTCCACCCCCACAGGCCCGGGGTGGTATTGCAGCATGTCAGCGCACGTCATTTTGGCCACTTTTGAGCCCCCACTGACTTTAGCACAAGAAAGAAGTAAGAATTAAGTACAAAATCTCTGACTTAACAAAGTAAGTATAAGATGTCTTTGGCATTATAAAGAAGCAAGTAAATAAAATTTGGTTTCTTTTTGTGCAGAAATATATAGTATGAATAGTAGAATGTTAGCAGCATGAGGGTCTGGGACAAAGTGACACATGTGGTCAGCAGCTGGTTCAGCATCATAGCAACATACCCACAACAAACCAGTCGTCTTGGACATTCCTTGGTAACTACGACTTCCAGCTGAACTCTACACTTTAGTACCAGCTTGACCCAGACAGAACCAAGAGAGACAAATGATGGATCTGTTACTGGTTGAATAGGGCCGGTGGAAATTCTTCCAATCGGGGAAGAGTAAAGTAGAGTAGAGTAGAATAGAGTAGAGTGGAGTAGAGTAGAGTGGAGAGGAGTAGAGTAGAGTGAAGAGTAGAGTAGAGTAGAGTAGAGTAGAATAGAGTAGAGTGGAGTAGAGTAGAGTGGAGAGGAGTAGAGTAGAGTGAAGAGTAGAGTAGAGTAGAGTAGAGAAGAGTAGAGTAGAGTAGAGTAGAGAAAAGTAGAGTAGAGTAGAGAAGAGTAGAGTAGAGAAAAGTAGAGTAGAGTAGAGAAGAGAAAAGTAGAGTAGAGTAGAGTAGAGTATAGTTGAGTGAAGAGTAGAGTAGAGTAGAGTAGAGTATAGTAGAGTGAAGAGTAGAGTAGAGTAGAGTAGAGTTGAGTGAAGAGTAGAGTGGAGTAAAGTAGAGTATAGTTGAGTGAAGAGTAGAGTAGAGTATAGTTGAGTGAAGAGTAGAGTGGAGTAAAGTAGAGTAGAGTAGAGTAGAGTATAGTTGAGTGAAGAGTAGAGTAGAGTAGAGTATAGTTGAGTGAAGAGTAGAGTGGAGTAGAGTAGAGTAGAGAAAAGTAGAGTCGAGTAGAGTACAGTAGAGTAGAGTGGAGAAAAGTAGAGTAGAGTGGAGTAAAGTAGAGTAGAGAAAAGTAGAGTAGAGTAGAGTAGAGTAGAGTAGAGTGGAGAAAAGTAGAGTAGAGTAGAGTGGAGAAAAGTAGAGTAGAGTAGAGTAGAGTACAGTAGAGTTGAGTGGAGAGTAGAGAAGAGTAGAGTAGAGTGAAAACAGGCCTTAAAAAAATCTTGTTTAATTGGTTGACCTGATATTGGGCAGAACAGTGTCGTTAGCATCAGCGCTGTGACCTCAACCGTAGTATCTGTCCTACAAGAAACTCAGCAAGGAAAAACCTGGATAGTACTGTGATGGGAGACCTCTGGGAACAGCAGTTGCACAGTGGGGCGGCTTTAAAGTGCCAAACTATCAATGTGTCTGCACGCACACACACACACGGACACACACACACGCACACGCACACACACACACGCACACACACACACACACACACACACGCACACACACGCACACACACACACACACACACACGCACACACACACGCGCACATGCACACACTTAGAGGTCACAAGACTCCCTGAAGTGTTGTTGTGCTGTTGTGTAGTGTCTCTGGAGTGTGTCTTCAGGGAGCTGTCCTTTAAATGTCACTGATCCTGATGCAAACACAGCCTGAACTCTGACATAGAACAAACACATCTGAAAAAGAAGTTATGGCAAACTCAAAGTGTAGAAGAGGTTAACTCACACTGTTATCATTAAAGGAGACATATTATTGTGTCTTGTAGATGTTGTGGCTCCACCTGCAGGTTAAATTCAGATCCCATCAGACCACTGAAGCTAAGCAGGGCAGGGTCTGGTTAGTACTGTGATGGGAGACCTCTGGGAATACCATGTCCCATAGTTGACTAGACACTTCACCCACATTGCCTGGAATGGAAGTCTAGTGTGTTGGTGGTTGGAAGGGCCTTGTTTCTGTCAGTGTGTCCCAGGGCAGCTGTGGCTAGAGTAGTATATAGAGTGAATGAATAATTACATGTGAAGCGTCTTTGAGTGTCCAGAAAAGCGCTGTATAAAACGTATGTATTCAAAGCGTCTTGAGCCTGTCAGGAGGAGCACTGCTGAAGAGCCCAGGGCCCATCTCCAGATGATGATTATCTTGGTCAGAACCAGAGCTGGAGGACTTTGCCTGTTGTACACTTTTTATGGTATGGGAAACCAGAACACCTGATAGTTTGGCACTTTACAGTCACAGCCGCCCGACTGGGGTACCTGGTGTTCCAAGAGGACTCCCATCGCAGTAGAAACAGGTCTAAACCAGGTCTGAACCGGGACTGAACCAGGCCTGAACTAGAACTATTTGTATTTATTGTGACTACACTGTGTCTTGGTACTACCAGAAAACCTATACAGCACATACTGTAAATTATCTGGTCTCTCTCTCAGGTATCTCTCTGGTATCTCACGGTGGTCTCTCAAGGGTCTCTCTCTCTCTGGTCTCTCTCACTGGTTTCTCTGGTCTCTTTCTGGTCTCTCTTTCTGGTCTATGTTACTGTTCTCTCTCTGGTCTCTTTTTCTTGTTTCTCTGTAGTCCCTCACTGGTCTCTCTCTCTTGTCTCTCTCTGGTCTCTCTCTGGTCTCTCTCTGGTCTCTCTCTCTGGTCCCTCACTGGTCTCTCTCTCTGGTCTCTCTCTGGTCTCTCTCTCTGGTCCCTCACTGGTCTCTCTCTCTGGTCTCTCTCTCTGGTCTCTTTTTCTGGTTTCTCTCTGGTCTCTCTCTGGTCTCTCTCTCTGGTCCCTCACTGGTCTCTCTCTCTCTGGTCTCTCTCTCTGGTCTCTCTCTCTGGTCCCTCACTGGTCTCTCTCTGGTCCCTCACTGGTCTCTCTCTCTGGTCTTCTCTCTGGTCTCTCTCTGGTCTCTCTCTCTGGTCTCTCTCTCTGGTCTCTCTCTTTTCTCTCTCGGTTCTCTTTTTCTGGTCTTTCTTTCTGGTCTCTCTCTGATCTCTCTCTCTGGTCCCTCACTGGTCTCTCTCTCTGGTCTCTCTCTCTGGTCTCTCTCTGGTCTCTCTCTCTGGTCCCTCTCTGGTCTCTCTCTCTGGTCCCTCACTGGTCTCTCTCTCTGGTCTCTCTCTCTGGTCTCTCTCTGGTCTCTCTCTCTGGTCCCTCTCTGGTCTCTCTCTCTGGTCCCTCACTGGTCTCTCTCTCTGGTCTCTCTCTCTGGTCTCTTTTTCTGGTTTCTCTCTGGTCCCTCACTGGTCTCTCTCTCTGGTCCCTCACTGGTCTCTCTCTCTGGTCTCTCTCTCTGGTCTCTCTCTGGTCTCTCTCTCTGGTCTCTCTCTCTGGTCTCTCTCTGTTCGCTCTCTCTGGTCTCTCTCTTTTCTCTCTCGGTTCTCTTTTTCTGGTCTTTCTTTCTGGTCTCTCTCTGGCCTCTCTCTGGTCTCTCTCTTTGGTCTCTCTCTGATCTCTCTCTGATTGTTCTCTGTAGTCTCTCTCGCTGATCTTTCTCTCTCGCTCTATCTCTTTGTTCATATGAACTACAACCAGATAGCGCAAACTGTAATTTACCTTTAAAAAAGAAAAAAGAAGCATTTTAAAGTATTAAACAAACAACAGTAAGAAAAGTGGGAATGCAGTAAGAGTTGCGTCATTGCTCTGGTGCCCGCCCTCTCTCTCTGATATAAGTCTGTGTTGGGGGCCTCCTCGGATCTGCCCCGGTCCACAGCCGACATGTCCAACATATCTGCGGTAAAAAAATACTGTTGGAAGTCACTGTGTCTCTGTGTGATATCACATGTTGGATTTACTCTGTTGTGAATTAATGTGAAAGTTTATCATGGCTTTAACAGCTGTCTCTCTGTATTGTGAAGAATATATACTACTACTACTGCTACTGCTGCTTCTCCTATACTACTACTACTGCTACTGCTGCTTCTCCTATACTACTACTACTGCTACTGCTGCTTCTCCTATACTACTACTGCTACTGCTGCTACTGCTGCATCTCCTATACTACTACTACTGCTACTGCTGCTTCTCCTATACTACTACTGCTACTGCTGCTACTGCTGCATCTCCTATACAACTACTACTGCTACTGCTGCTTCTCCTATACTACTACTGCTACTGCTGCTTCTCCTATACTACTACTACTGCTACTGCTGCTTCTCCTATACTACTACTGCTACTGCTGCTACTGCTGCATCTCCTATACTACTACTACTGCTACTGCTGCTTCTCCTATACTACTACTGCTACTGCTGCTACTGCTGCATCTCCTATACAACTACTACTGCTACTGCTGCTTCTCCTATACTACTACTGCTACTGCTGCTTCTCCTATACTACTACTGCTACTGCTGCTTCTCCTATACTACTACTGCTACTGCTGCTTCTCCTATACTGCTACTGCTGCTTCTCCTATACTGCTACTGCTGCATCTCCTATACAACTACTACTGCTACTGCTGCTTCTCCTATACTGCTACTGCTGCTTCTCCTATACTGCTACTGCTGCATCTCCTATACAACTACTACTGCTACTGCTGCTTCTCCTATACTACTACTGCTACTGCTGCTTCTCCTATACTACAACTACTACTACTACTACTACTACTACTACTACTACTGCTACTGCTGCTTCTCCTATACTACAACTACTACTACTACTACTACTACTACTGCTACTGCTGCTTCCCCTATACAACTACTACTGCTATATGTTTGAACGTATTTCAGCGTTATTGGGATGTTTAATCTGTCTTTTGTTGAAAATAATTTTTCTTTAAAAAACAAACTCTCTCTGGTCTCTTTCTGGTCTCACTGTATTGAGACCAGAGAGAGATGTGCTCTCTCTGTTGTCTCTTTCTGGTTTGCTCTTTGGTCTCTCTCCGGTCTTTCTCTAGTCTCTGTCTGGTTTCTCCATGGTCTCTCTAAGGTCTCTTTCTGGTCTTTCTCTGGTGTCTTTCTGGTTTTTATGTGGTCTCTCTCTCTGGTCTCTTTCTGGTGCCTCTCTTTGAGCTCTCTCTGGTTATTTTAAAATATTTGCTCTTGCACAGGAGGGAGTGAATGGATCCATGGTTCTCATTTATCGGGACACGTTTGAGTCCAGTGTGGCTAAGAATGTGTTCTTGGTGGCTCTGGGTCTGCTCATCAACTACATCAATGGCACTCTGCTCCACACCTACAGCAAACACCAGGTACACGCCATTAACCTGGACCAGGTCTGGACCAGGTTTGGTACAGGACTGACATTAAAGCCATATGTATACATTTAAATATACAACACTTTACTTTCTAAGGTCTCTTTCCCTCTGGCGTCTCTTCGGTCTCTCTCTTGTTTCTCGCTGGTCTCTCGCTGGTCTCTCTGGTCTCTTTCTGGGGTCTCTCTCTGGTCTCTGTCTTGTCTCTCTCTGGTCTCTGTCTTGTCTCTCTCTAGTCTCTCTCTATGACCCTGGCATTAGTATCGCGCAGCACCAATGGGGACAGACTGGCGCTGCTCCAGATTTGCACTTGGTCACGAATGCACCCATTGTGAAATTTTGGGCCAATACCAATGTCAATGTTTAAAATAACAACTTCGCAGATGTTTGGCCGATGTTTTTCTTTTTGATATTCATTACTTGCTGGGGGTTTGCACCTTCTTGGCAGCTTCAGTTTTTTGTAGTTCTTCAGCCTTATACAGTTGCTGTACACTGCCTCATGCTTGTTTCTCAAATGTCCAAAGAGATTCATTGTGTTAAATGATTTTCTAGTAGTCCCTTCTCTTGAAATCTCACTGGAACACGTAACTGCATAACGCTGATCTTTGTCTGATACTGTAAAATACTGCCACACGACCACTGCCATCTTCTATGTTTCTTCTACTGAGGAAACCGGTATCTCTTTGCACGTGCCTACCATCGGTGAATGTCATTTTTATTTGCCGATGGTGGATAACAAGGCAAACATCGGCCAATTCCGATGTTCAGCCGATACATCGGTGCATCCCTATTCATGGTTGTTCTGTCATTGTAACAAATTTGACTTCACATTCCTGCTCAAACAGTGAGCTCTAATCTAATCAAAGCGAGACGTCAGCTCCATTCAGTCCATTCCTTCTACGATCTATGGGCAGAAGAAATGAAGCCCGGGTGAACATAGCTAGCTTACATTGTATCCTCTGGAGAGACTTGTCTATGGGAGAGACTTGTGGAACCGCCTCGGACCACATTCGGACGCGAAACTAGCAGTAATCTTTCAGTTATACATTGTGTTAGCAGTGTGTTGCTTTTTTACCATTTCATCAGTGATTGTTGTACAGCTTACAAGAAGTTGTGCTAATGCTAATGTAAGCATATGTATCAGATCGCAAATAAAACTAGATGGCCCTGTGGCAGGAGAGCGTAGGGGAAATGAGAAAAGTCTGTGAGCGAGTTGGGTGGCGGGTATAGCTCTAGCTTTAATGTGTTTGTTTCAGTCTGTGGAAGTACCACAAACGACGCACAGACCGCACAGGCTGAGACCAGAGGCTGAATGAGTGTTTTCACTGTTTTTTATTGTAATTAATGTTCTTTTTAACTGTATTCTTGAAATAAAAAACCATAACAAACTATTTCCAGATCTTCTACACAAACCCGCGCTACATCCTGTTCGCCCACATGGTGCTGAACGACATGCTGCAGCTGACGCTGAGCGTGGCCATGTTCGTGCTGAGCAACACGTCCCGTCAGATGCTGTGTCCTCTGTGTCTGCTGCTGCTCTGCCTCAGCGTCCTCACCACACACAACATCCCCTTCTGCCTGGCCGTCATGGCGGCCGAGTGCTACATCGCCGTCTGCTTCCCGCTGCAGCATGCGCAGCTCTGCACCAAGCGCTGCACCTACGGCCTCATCGCCGGCATCTGGAGCCTCACCATCCTCATCATCCTCCCCGACATCTTCATCCTGGCGCTCAGCAGACCCGCCTCCTTCTTCACGTCCACGGTGTACTGCGAGCGGACGGCGGTGTTCGGACACCCGCTGATCATGGCCAAGCGCGACGTGCAGTACATGGTCTACCTCTGCGCCGTGTGGAGCGTCCTCATATTCACGTACTGCCACGTCTTCTGCGCAGCTCGAGCAGCGTCGTCTGAAAAGCAGTCAAAGAAGGCACGCAACACCATCCTGCTGCACGGCTTCCAGCTGCTGCTGTGCTTGCTCTCGTACGTGGACCACCTGCTGCTGCGCCTCCTGAGGACCTGGTTCCTGAAGTACATCGTGCACATCAGCTTCGTTCTCTACATCGTGGTCATGATCCTGCCGCGCCTCATCAGCCCCGTGCTCTACGGTCTGCGCGACAAGACGTTCAGACATCACCTGCCCAAATACATGATCCTGACTGTGGTCGTCAGGGTCTAGAGCAGGGCCCTCAAGCTTCAGCGGGGGGCCACTAGCGGTCCGGGTTTGGGGGAGGTATTTTTATCACATTTTTGTTTGCAAAATATATGAACATTGGCGCAAACAGATCTATGCACACACAGAGACACAGATGTGAGTTTGTCCTGGAGGGTCCTGGACAAACTCACATCAATAGGACTGTCGCCTCCTCAGGACACTTACTCTGTCTGCACTGAAGAGCAGCTTCAGTAACAGACTGATCCACCCTCGCTGTGTGAAGGAGAGGTTTTGCAGGTCTTTTTTTCCTGCTGCTGTCAGACAGTACAACTGCTGAGCCTGTAAATGTCATCTCATCTGTAAAAAGTAAATACAGTCCACTGAAAGTCACTTTATCTATCATCATCATGTTGTGCTAACAAAAAAATGTTAAAAGTCGTAGCAACATTCTGTATTGCAACACTGAATCTTTCATTTTTTTCATTTAATTTTCATCCCTTGTCTGGGTCAGGAGGGTGAGCTGCAGGTAGTGAGTCCACAGGAAGACACGGCCTTGGACTTTCAGCAGGGGATGACTCTGTTCTTCCTATTTTCAAACTGTCAAATTATCTAGAGAAACCAATGGACCAAGAATTTGTGGAAAGTGTTTATCATTTGCCTCTGACTTTTTAGAATGAAGGTATTTTGTCCAAACCATTACTTTTATTGATAATGAGTTTAGGTATGACTTTCTTAATATTTCTAACCAAAATAAATAAGTGCAGCAGCTTAGAGTGAAAAAACACTAGATAAGGGGCGGGAAAGATCGAGGCTTTGTTGTGAACCGTTGCCTGAAAAACTTTCACTTGTCTCTTGATCACTTCTGTGTGTCATCGTTATAGCTGTTTTTAACGTCCTGTACGATTTCGGTGTTTGTGATTTGATGCTTTGTGTGAAGCACGAGGTAACTGTTACAACAGTTACCTGTGTTACCTTGTGTAGGAAAAGCACCCTACAAATAAAGGGTTGATTGATTGATTACTTGACTTTTGTCACTACGTTCAGGATTTAATGTTTTTGATCAGAGATGTGCCAATTGTTTTCTTGATACAAGGAGTTTTAAAATAATGTACAACATGCCACATTAGGCAACACTGACATTAATCTTTGATGTCCACTAGGGGTCTAAAATATACCTGTTTATGGGCTACAAATGACCCACTGGCCTTTGTTTGAGTGTGTGAGGAGCTGTAATCAGATAAAACCTCTTGCAAGCCAGAACAAAGAACAATGCTCGCTCTGGTGGCTTCACCATCACAGACTGCAAACACAGTCTGTGATTGTGAAGAACCTCATTTCACCCGAGAAATCACCAAAACAATTTTTATGGGAAATACTTTTGTTTTAAAGGGATAAAACTGTGCTTTAGTGTGATGTCATAGTGGCACAATCACATCATACCATTACACACCAGTGAGGGCGGGTCCCGGCTCAAAAACGTCCAGAAGCACATGCACTGATACACTTGAAATACCACCGGCAGTGGACCCAGAAAGAGAATTATTCATTGCCTCTGTATGGCCTCCTCTTTCCTCTCGAAAACGTCTTCACAGGATGGTCCAAAGGTCGGCTCTTGACCCAAAACTACATTCCAGACCCTGTCGATGCTGAGGGGAGTATATTTTTTTGGACCATTCTAGTTTAGCTGCTGTGGATTTCAGAAGGCAATCGTCAAATGAATGGGGCGGCTAACACATGCGCAAATGCGTTTTTTCACATTTTCCTGCGGGAGGGGCTGCCCGGGGCCATTTTTAAAAAGCCCCATCGAGGTCAAAAGCGGTGGCACATTAGTTTCAACAGCGTAGATAGGCGCGACTACGTCCGTTAATATTTACAGTCTATGTTACACACAGAGAAACACTTCAGGACAACAACACTTCAGACTATGAGGTTTTATTACTTTTATTGAAAAAACAATGACATTTGCAGCTTGGGAATGTTCTCTTCTTTACTGGTTCAGTCCTGGTTTAGACCTGGTTTAGTCCTGGTTCACAGGTTCAGGTTAAAATAAAGTCCTGGATCTTCAGCCTCAGCTGGTCCGTTCCCAAGGTTTATCACTTTTTCTCACTGGGTTTTTGAGTGGTTCCTTGTCGAGGCAGGAGGGTCAAGCACAGTGAAGACCCCAGACATTTAAAACATTTATTAACATTTCTGGACAGTGGTCATCCCGTTCCCTATGGACTTATGGCTGCCATGTGTTTGTTATTATTGCATTTCCTGTGTTATAACGGTTTGATTCTCAGTTGTGATGTAGGTCTTTACACAAATACATTGAATTGAATCTAATCGTTCGACCTCATTGTGGAAATATCATTTGTCTTCTTTTCATCTCATCTCGCTCTGATGCGATTTGCGCAGAAAAATATGAGAGACATTTAGTCCAATGAGTTTTTGTATCTTTTTAAAACAAGATCTTTTGCTTGACCCATTGGAAAATCTTGTTTAAGGCAGTCAAAAAGTGCTCAAATTAAGAAAACGTGCCAAATTTGGGCAATTTTTTACTTTTTTCATAACTTTCTGCAGTGTAAAAGCATGTCCACAGCAAGAGTAGCTCAGAGTGCAGTTTGCGTGGGCTCCTGCTGGCTTGGGGGCCCCTCTCGACTCTTCTGCTCCGTGTGGGAGGGGCTGGTGGCCACAGACTCCGCCCTGCTGCTCTCTGACTGTACGGCGTGCGTTCGGGCCACACTTTCTGCTTGCGGCTCACTCACTGCCGGCGGCGACACGATCACGTAGTTGGGCTCTGGCTGCGGCGCACTAGACCGGCGCTGCAGTGCATGCTGGGAGCAGGAGAAGGAGCGCTGGCGGGGGGCGGGCTGTGGGAACAGGAAGTGAGCCGTGAGAGCTCGTGTGGCGTCCTGCGTCCGGTCGCGGTCCTCGTCCTCGGAGGTCACTTCCTGAAGTGTGCTGATTGGCCGAGGGGAGCGGCCCATGACACGTGGTGGAACCAGGGCGGTGGTGGATTGGTTCATCTGAGGCCTCCAGGTGTGAGGGGAGGGGGCCTGCACTCTGCCCGGCGACCAATCACTGACAAGCAACAACACAATGTTTATTATTTAAAGTTGGGAAATGTAACTTTCTGACCAATAAAAGATTTATCTCTATAAGACAAAGTATGTCCCTTGTTCCTTTCTCTAAAACAGTTGCCAATATTACTAGTTTTTATACAGAGCTATTATTGTTTCAATAATATTTGTGTGTGCGTAAACAGATTTGTTTGTGCGTAAACAGATTAGTGTGTGTGTTAAAGTAATTATTGTGCGTGTGTAAATAGATTTGTATGTACGTATCAAGATTTGTGTGTGCGTTAAAAAAAAGTTGCAATGATCTGATAAAAAGATTTGCAAGTGTAACTTGGATTGTGTGCGTGCGTAAACAGATTTGTGTGTGTGTAATTTGACATTTGTATCTGTAACAGAACAATCTGTGTGTAAAAAACCACGTTGTACGCACAGGCTCTGTTTTACACACGAATCTCTTTCAGACACACCTCTGCCGCTTAGCGTGTGTCAAAAAGAGACGTAAGTGTAATGTGGTTCTAGCAGTACACCAGCAGATGGCGCTGTTGTAGCTGGTTATTACCTATGGTTATTACCTACGCAAGCAAACCAGCAGAGTTTGTGGCACTAAAGTGTAGATTTAAAGAAAACCGAAGGATTTAAGAAGAATAAAAGTTCAGGACGACAAGGGACACTAAAATTCCCACAAAATCCGACCTTTATGAAAGCTGTAGGTTCTCTGTCAGGTTCTCTGTCAGGTTCTCTGTCAGGTTCTCTGTCAGGTTCTCTGTCAGGTGAGTTCTATAGGGAAAATTTCTGTGTAGCCCACGTGAATTTAGTCTTTTTGGTCTGCAGTACCCGCGAGAATCCCCCGAGCATGTGGGTCCTTCAGCTCCAAGCTAGTAACACCCTATCCAGTTATTATAATAGATCCATGTATCATACAGTGGTGTGAATGACAGGATTTTGAAAATAGGACAAAAACATCATAAACAGCTGCAATAGTGTGTCTTGTCATGGCAGTAGGTTTTGGTTTGTTTGCGTGTAGGTAATGACCAGCTACAACAGCACCATCTGCTGGTGTACTGCTAGAACAACCACATTACACTTACGAATCTTTTTGACACACGCTTGGCGGCAGAGGTGTGTCAAAAAGAGATTTGTGTGTAAAACAGAGCCTGTGCGTTCTTCTCTTCGTACAACGTGGTTTTTTACACACAGATTGTTCTGTTACAGATACAAGTGTCAAATTACACACACACAAATCTGGGTACAGACGCACACAGTCCAAGTTACATTTGCGAATCTGCGAAGGCAGGACTGCGTCAAAAGATTTGTGTGTGAAAAAAAAACTTGAGTGTAAAACTTACTTTTTTTTTTACACACACACAAATCTTTCTACGCACACACAAATCTTTTTACGCACACACAAATCTTGATACGTACATACAAATCTATTTACACACGCACAAACATTTCTCTAACACACTCTATTATTATTACTATCACACAGTGGCGCAAAAAGGGCATATGCAAGGTATGCCTTGCATATGGGCGCCGAAAGGACGGGGCGAGAGAGAAAAAAATATTTAAATATAGTCGGACAGCAGAGCACCATTGGCCATTTCCTCATAGCACTTGACAATGGCGCCCCCTAGCGTCAACAGCGCCCCATTACACCTGCTGTTACACATGCTAACAAGGACCTAGTGATGGAGAGGCAGAAAAAAAAGCAAAACAGAAAACGGAAGATTGAGGAGAAGAAAGATTGCGCAGGGATGAAAAAAAGCTTTTCGAAGTGGCTGAAAAACAGTGGGTAAGTAATGTCTGTGTTTAGTGTTAGGTGTTGGCCATCACAAGGAGCCAACTTGTAAATCTTCAGGTTAGCTTAAACTACTAGTAAAACCACAGGTTTGTTGGCTTGCTGCTGCAACTGTAGACTATCAGTGTAGGGGGTAACATAACGTATTATAAAAGTAGAGTTACGAAAATACTCTACCTTAGTTTCTTTTTTCAGTAACTAAGGAATAATATTACTTTGAGAAAATACGGAAATATAACTTGAGTTACAAGTGCATTTAAATGTATGGGGGGAAAAAAGCCAAACTAAACCCAAATAAAATGCAGCATTACTCCTTTTTATTAATAATTATTTCCTGTGATGTTTTGGGTCCAACATGATGATAAATGTAGGCCTGTACAACAAGGATAGCATTTCATAAAATGTTTTTTTTTTTTTATTGGCTTGATTGCTGTATTGTAAGCCTCCTTAACACAGATTTCATGTCATTCAGGAAGGAGGATGGAGATAAAGACAAGAACAGAGAGAAAGAATCAGAACAGGCAGAGGAAGGCAACAGGTTGGTCGAATTATATTAGATGGAAGTGTAGGAACAACCACTTGATACCAAGAGATTACTTTCTAAATATTATATTGAAAATTTATATTGTAATTAAATTATTCAAAGTTAATAACGAGTACGCTAATGCTTGTTTGACAATGAGACTTGTTTGACAATATAACTTAGTGGAGAAGAACACAGGCAGGGGGCAAAGGAGACAGACATGAGGTCAGCGATGGCATCTGCTATAGAGAAGACCAGTCATGGCACCAGGTAGGAATAATTAAACTAGTGAGGAACTAAAAACTAAATGCCCAGTATGGTTTTGATTTCTGTTGACCAACCTATTCACTACGTCCTTTTTTGAAAATTAGTGCAGGCAGAAATGACCAGTCAATCCCCACAGAGGAGAATGCAGAACAGAGAGGTGAAGAGGAGAGAGAGGGGCAGAGAGGTGAAGAGGAGAGGGAGAGACAAAGAGGTGAACAAGATGTTGAAGACAATCTGAGAAGTGAAGATGATGATGAAGATCTAAGAGGTGAAGAGGAGAGCGAGGAACAGAGAAGCGAAGTGGAGAGGGCTGGGGCAAGGCCTTACTTAGGAGATCCCTCTGAATGGCCTTCACCACATGAAATGAGGGATTCATTTAGGCAGTGCTTGGTTGAGAATGGCCCACAGAAATGTCCTGATGGGCCATATCCAAGATCAGAAAAGAGTAAGAGGTGTTTTTCCAAAGCATACTGTTTTCGTTTACTGTCAAATGGAGAGAAAGTGGAGCGGGATTGGTTAATGTACTCCAAAAGTTCTAACAGAGTCTATTGTTTTGCATGTAAGCTGTTTGGTGAAGCTAGAGTTGTTGACAGGCGCCTTCTGGTGGGGTATAATAACTGGCAGTGTCTTTCAAAAACACTAAAGCGCCATGAAACCACTACTGATCACATAAATGCTTATATGAAGTGGAAAGAATTGGCATCCCGCTTACGCCTAGGTAAAACTATAGATAGTGATTTGCAGAGAGCCATGGCCGCTGAAAAAGCACACTGGAGAAGTGTGTTGACTCGAGTGATCGACTGCATACTCTTCCTTGCTGAAAGGAACCTGCCACTGAGGGGGAAGAATGAACAGTTAGGAAATCCTAAAAATGGAAATTTTCTGGGTATCCTTGAGCTCATAGCACGGTATGATGTTACACTAGCAGAGCATCTTAGAAAGACTGCCTCTAAGAAAACCACAGGATATCTGTCCTGGTGCACTCAAAATGAATTTTTAAATTCAATATCAGAATGTATTTTACGTAAAATTGGTGCCCAGATCAAAGCTTCCAAGTACTTTGCAGTGGAATTGGACTGCACACCTGATATTTCAAAGCAGGAGCAGGCCTCAGTTATCATAAGGTATGTGCATACAGATGAGAAGAGGAATGTGACTATAACCGAGTCATTTGTGGGGTTCACTGCTGTGAAGGACACAACTGGGAAAGGCCTCACAGATTCACTGACCGGGGTACTGGATAGTCTGGGTTTGGAGCTGGCTAATTGTAGAGGGCAAAGTTATGACAATGGAGCTAATATGAGGGGAATACACAAGGGTGTCCAGGCTTTAATACAGCAGAGATGTCCAGAGGCTCATTTCATTCCCTGCTGTAGCCACAGCCTGAACCTTTTGTTATGTGATGCAGCCTCATCAAACAAAGAGTGTCTAACCTTCTTTGGCACTCTTCAAAGACTGTACACCATATTTTCATCTTCTGTGAAGAGGTGGGATATTCTTACAGAATTTGTTGACATCACTCTGAAGCCTTTGAGTGACACCAGATGGGAAGCAAAGCTAGACTCTGTCAAAGCTGTACGTTTTCAATTGGGGGGTGTTCTAGATGCGCTGGAAAAGCTTGAGGAAGTGTCAGGAGATAGCAAAATAGTATCCGAAGCAAGGTCACTGTCTGACGAGATTGTAAGTATGGAGTTCCTTATGTGCCTCTTGGTTTGGTACAACTTATTGTCAGAGATCAACTTTGCAAGCAAGGCACTACAAGCAGCAGAAGTGTCAATGGACACAGCCATTAGACTGATAGAGTCTCTGAAAGAGTTTGTGCTGAAATATAGAGATGAGGGCTTTGAGAAGTCCCTTGACATTGCACGCAGGATAGCCATTGAAATGCATGCTTCTCCAGAATTCAAAGAGAGGCGTTTAAGGAAGCAAAAGAGGTTCCACGATGACAATTCCAGCACTGGTCATCACGAAAAGGAACCAGAGAGGCACTTTAGGTGCATGGTTTTTAATGTAATTGTCGACACAGTATTGCAAGAGTTGTCTGACAGGTTTACCAATCTTGACATTTTGTCCACCAAATTTGCATTCATTGCTCAAATGGATCAGATGACAAAAGCTGAGTTGGAAGAATCAGTCACAAAGTATGCCCTGACTACCAGTGAAGTTTCTAGGGACATAATTCAGGAAATTTACCCTGCAAGCCGTCTACTGAAAGGTCACACTGTTGTTGAGAAGTTAATATTTCTAATGAAGGAGAACCTTGATTTGGTGTTCCCAAATTTAACTGTGGCACTTAGAGTGTTCCTGACCATGCCTCTAACTGTTGCATCGGCAGAAAGATCATTTAGCAAACTGAAGCTTATAAAAACCTACCTGCGGTCGACAATGAGCAATGATCGCTTGACCCAGTTGGCCG